AAAGAAGGGTAAAGGCAAAAGCAGAGAAGAGTTAATTGGGAAAGCAAACTGTGATATGCCACTCTGTGGCTGCTGCTGTTCTTTGGTTATCTGAAGCTATGTCATGTAATGTTTTCTGAAGAGACTCCAACTTGAATTGCATTAAATTTCAGGGGTGGAGGAGAGCAGGGCCTTAGCTGGCACAGAGATGGATGTCAGCATAACAAACTCAAAGGTCTCCACGACCTCAGGGCTTGCATCAGGCTGCTGCACCAAGAGGGATTTTCTCAGCCCAAGCACACGGCCCTGGCAGCTGCCAGTGCGGGGGGAGTTCTGGCTGGAGCCCTGTGCAACGCTGACCCAGCCCTGCTCAGAGCCGTGGTGTTACAGGTGAGCTGCTGCAGACCTTGTACAGTCATAACATTGTACTGTGTTATCTGTGCTGTTGTACCACTTTCAGAATTGGAAACATTCCAGTTCAAAGCTCACTCTCCTCCTTTGTTTGAGAACGTCTTGACTCAGATATTCAAGGTCCTCTGTCCTATTTGCCAACTTTTTTTTTTTTTAATGACTTCCAAGGCTCCTTTCGTAGATGTTCTAAATACAATGATGAAAACTCATCTCCCACTGACAATTGAGGAACAAGAAGAATGGGGAAATCCATTAGAAGATGAAAAGTGTATGAAGTATATCAAAAGCTATTGCCCATACCAGAATATTAAGCCACAGGTAAAACTATGTTTTCTGTGCAGAATACTTCAGGCATAAAGTGTAGTGGTTTATAAGAAAACCAGAAGTAGATCACTGAAAATTTTAGAAAACCTCCAATATAAATTATTTCAGTAATAATCTTAACAATGGCTGGAGTCACAAGTGACTACTGAAATTAACCCAATGCCTTCTCCTAAAGGATATAAATTTCCAAACTTGCTTTTGTTTTAGGACTTTCAGGAAATAATAGATTATTGTGTAGCAAGTCTCAATATGCAAAATGCCTTCTTTTGTGGGAGTTTTGACATTCTCCTGTGCTTTGCTGGCTTTTTTGCAGACACAGGAGGAAGGAGGTTTCCACTGGAGGTATTTTCCACTGATGGAAACTACCTCCACCTGAGGTACTTTCCAGTGGAGGTGGGGTTATTTTCTACTGATTTAATACCTTTGAAGAGGTATTCAAACAAACACTGAAAGGGAAGAGGACCTATAGCTTTGACATTGTCATCTCAAGGGAAATCTCTTTTATGACGGTGTGTTAGCTGTGTTGTGCAGCTTCATTAAGTAAAATTCTTACTATTTAAAAACCAACATCTTGGCAGAAAGATTGCAAAAATAAACTTCAACTATTGTTCTAAGGTAAACTATTCCATGATTATTACTCCGTTTTTTTTCTTTTTTTGCAATCATCAGCAAGCAGACAGGCATCAGGCCTTTACCAGTGGGAAGAGGATGTTTTTATGACCTTTTGCAAGTAGATTATGCCCAACTGTGAAGTCATTTTTCAAACCAAAATACTTTTTGCAGTTAGAGTGATAAAACTCTTAGAAAACATGAAGTAATTATGAAATAGATGAGTTCTTAAATAAACCCTAACAAGTTGTATAATAAGAGAAAAATGTGCTACTGTTTGAGAAAGACCAGTTGTCAAGTGTTTGACTGGTTTTGGTTTTTGATCTCAGTGCTATCCATCAGTTTTTATCACGGCGTATGAAAATGATGAACGGGTACCACTGACAGGAATTTTACAGTATGTTCAGAAACTCAGGAAGGCTGCACTAGATCATGCCAGCAGAACAAGTAAGAAAGGTAAGGATAAGAATATCACAGATAAGTGGAGTTAACCAAAATTTAATAGTCATGTAAATTAAAGACCACAGAGGTTGACTCCTCCTTAAATGAATTCAAACACAATCCCATATCACCAGCTCCACAGCAGACTCAGAACACTCTCTGAGATGCAAAACCAAAGACTGGAAGCCTGTCGGGGGGCTCACTCTTTCCCAGGCTTCCACATGGGGCAGTTGTTGGATAGTGCAGAGTGAACCCACATTGTCACTCCACTGCTGACAGGGCCAGGCTGCAGTTCTCAGCAACCCTTGGAGAAAAATCTTACTTTTGCTGCTATACAAAAACCTATTTTTCTCACTTTGTTAAGCTGCAGATCCTTAGTCCAAGCTAGAGTGACAACAAGGCCAAGGCACAGGTGCTTTTATACCTGAAACTTACCCTAGCTCTGGGAGTTTCCAGCAAAAGGTACATTCAGGATTGACAAATTTCTTGTACCATCCAGTCTGGGGAGAGGCTTTTACCTTCATTACCAGAAGAGATCTTGGATAACCTTTTTTACATTTCATGATGCCCTGTCTCTGAGCAGCACAACTGCAGTGGTTGAGAAACTGCAGCCGGTGCTGCAGTTGCTGTTGTGCTCTTTGTGCAGGAAGAAAAGAGCATATCTTTCCAAAAATACTCAGAGAGAACAACACACTAAATAGGTTAATATTTTCCAAATATGCAGTTATTAGAAATACAAATAATTCATTCAGAAAGCCCCTCTACAATCCTCTTTTTCTTAAGGAATAATAGAAATTCTGTCAGGACAAGAAGGAGAACTATCCTTAAACAATTCACATACCCACTTAATTTTTTCCTTGTCCATTCAATGTAAAGTGATCATCAGCTTCATTGTTCCAGGAAATTGGATTCCTAATATCATCCTAGATGTCCAGGCAAATGGCAGTCATTGTGATTCATCCTGGGAGCACTCACTGAATGAGGTATGGTCCCTTTACTGCACAGCTCCATAACATGGTGCAGGGGATATTCCCCCTCAAGGAATATGTCAGCCTCAGTAGCTGGGCAGACATTGAATGTATGGTTAAACTATAAAGAAAAACTGCTAGAGCAACTGCTGATTTTATATATATATATGTAATTTTAAAACCCAGCAATCTTTATATATAATTGTATCTATTTTTAAACATATATATATACTTTTACAGATATAAAAAAGAGTGACAGAGTCAGATTATTGAAATAGCCTTAAAATAGTGTTCAATTCCCACTGTAATGTGCTAGGAGATTTGAATGAAAGGTTCCAAGTTGTGCAAAACATCATTCCAGTAGGAAGAGTCTTGCTCTGTAGAGTATTAAGTGCTTGAAACTGTCATAGTATTTACTCCTATCTTCCTCATTGTGTAAAACATACATGATGGGCTGGATCTTTACATTTTGAAATGCATGATCTGTGCTATCAAAGCTATTACAGTTAGCTTTCAAGAATTTGCACTTTTTACAAGCATGCTTGTTAAAAGCAAAATGTTGCCGAGACCAAACATATTTTTACTGATGTCTCAGACTGTCACAGTTGGATACTAATTTTATTACTCTTAATTTTAACAAATCCTAGAAAATGTTAATTTGGTGGTGGTGGCAGTTATTCCCAAGAGGAATTCTTTTAGGAAAAGCTCCATGCTGTCTTGGGACAAGGTATTTCTAAGCATTGTATAGAAAAGGAAGATTACTAGAATAGTTGCACAAGAGCCTGAATGTTTAGAGTGCAAAGAACTTTACTTTGTAATAAAATATTTTCATTATTTTAGGTTGCAAGACACCTTGCTTTTCTGAACAGAGAATTTGAGGAAGTGTGCCATCCCCAACATCACAGCAAATCCTGCAAATAATTCCTAAACACACTGACCACCTGAGAAACTTAGGGTCAGATTTGGATGTGTATGGAAAGCAAGAGATCCGTTTCCAGAGGATCTCTCCTCTCAGATCTCTGCTTTATGGGCACAAGCACACAGAGCTGGGTGTGGCACTGCCTTACAAAAATGCAGACCAAGACCTGGAATTCTGCCCTGCCAGGCGGTGCAGAAGCAGCTGCCAGCAGAAATGAGTTTGTGCAGCAGCTCTGTTCACGTGAGCCAGCAGAGCAGCAGCACACAGAGCCCCACAGGAGAGCCACAGGCTCCGGGCACAGCCTTCCTGTCCAGGGCACAGCTCACACAAGGCAGCAGAACTCCTCCAAAGCATCTGGCATTCGAGTTTCACTGCTTCCAGGACTAATCCCCATACACAGGGGATGGGGGTTGCTGCCCTCTCTCTGCACAGCAGCCATGGTGTACTGATCATGTGGTGGGACTAAGCAAACTGCAAAGAAAAGCACTCTCAAGAACAGGAATTTTAGCAGAACTCTGATCTGAATACATTAAAAATCTTTCAGTTCCCTTACCTAGCATGGTAATCTTAAGAATGAGGTGCCAAATCCCTCAGGAGGACAAGATCAATGTGTCAGAAGATGCCAGAGTATTTCCAGAGGGTAAAACTAAAGCAGCCTAATTCATGGCTTAGCTGCCCTCTGAGCAAGGCACAAGTCTGCTGGGCCTTGCTTGTTGAAAGGGATGTGTGGTGCACACCCAGGGCCACATCAACCTCTGCAGGTGCAAACCAGAGCACCTGTGCTCACATTCAGTAGGGTTGGTTCCGCTGCTTCCTCTGAACTAAAGTACACACCCCTCACCTCAGCCTTAGGGCAGGAAGAGAAATGAGAGAATGCAAACATATTCTAACTCAGCGAGGAAGGGGAGAATCAACTGGAAATGCAGTCAGGAGTGTGGAACTAGACATTAGCTACATTTTGTTCTTTTTCTTACTAACTGAGGATAATCAGAGTTACTAGATTTGAGAGAAGAGGTGAAACATCACAACAGTATACACCAGTCCTGCTTGTGTTCCCCTGTTTTAACAAATATAAGGCTATCCCTTTGGAATAATTTTTACAAATCTGCAGACTTCTAAAGAGTTACAGTGAACTGCCACAGGCTTGGGATTCCACAGGAGCACTTGGACACCAGCAACTTCCAGGGTCAGCAGGCAGAAAGCAGCCATTCTCTCTCCTCCCAAAAACACATGCTTAAACAGGACAGTTTTTAGAACAGGTTTACTTTTCTTTTCCACACATCCTAAGGGGGAGTTGATACCATTATTTTTCCTTTTCATCACAAATACAGATAGGAGACAATTATGTATCTGATTTTTCAGGACATTTATTTTGTATACAAATAACATTCTAAAAGCTGAAGAAAATGGAGCATTTTTAGCATTTCCCTGAAGCTAGTATCTTCTAAATTAATATGAAAGCACGGGTATTCTACTCCTCTACTTAACAGTTCACGTAGAGTAAATTGAGGGCCTTGGAATAACAAGCTTTTTCTGCCACAAAACACTTCCCTTGAAAAGCTTCCATAGTATGAACAGGCTTTGCTGTTTTATATTGTAGGACCAGGCCTTCTCCCATTTCAGTTTTAATTAGTTTGGTATTGACCACTTTGCCAGCATTGCTAAAATGAGTACTGAGTCTCACTACAGCTTCGGAGGGAAGGTTAGGGACTCTGGCCTGCAGGTCTGTTGTTGCCTCCTGGCCGAAGTTGAGCACCATCATGAAGACTCTGTCCATCCCGTCCAGCTCCCTGACGTACACGAACACGTCACTGTCATTCCAGACGTGGCACAGCCACCCTCGGTTCAAGGGCAGCTCCTCGTTCCGCAGCACAGTCAGGGCTCTGTACAAACCCAGGCTTGAGTTGGACCAGGCGCTCTGGACCTGCAAGAGTCAGCACCAGAGGGTCAGCTCTTGGTCTGAGGGAGGAACCACAGCTCCCTTCTCACACCACCCAGGCTGCTGGGAATTCCGTGCTGACAATTACCCCTCTTCAAATCTGTCTGCAAATGCCACTGAAAGTCTGCTTCTTCTGTGCACTTCTTGGCACGTGTGGAGCGGCAGTCACAGAGTTTATTAAGCATAACATTTCCCCAGCACTAAAGCGATTGCTTCCTCCCCCAGCTTCCTTTCAGTACTGTTGGTTCAGGAGAAAACCACAGCCATTCAGAGCTTGACACTGAATCTTTTTCATTGAGTCCAGTCTACTGCAGTCACTGGGTTTATTTCACATTTTCTATTTCTGCTATCGTAGATTTTTTTTCTGCCTTCAATTTTGGGCAGCACTGTAGGTCAGCAAAATCTGTTTGATTCACTGCTCTACTTATGTTAGAGTCAGTCTATGTCAAGTTCTTGTTACAAAACCGGTGCTTTCTATAGCAATAGAAATGGGGGAAAAGAGACCAGTTTTCAATTTATCATCAAAAGGATTAAAAGGATGTTTAATCATCAACATCATAATTGTAGTTACTCTGCTTAAATGAATGTAGATGAAGTAGGCTCCTTGTTGTGCAAGGATTTTCTTTTCTAATAAAACTGGTGAGGATTCAGTGCCTTTTTTTTGCCGTGACTTTGTTCCTGCTACCAATGCTCGCTACTAAAAGGAAGCCAGAGCAAAATAGATACATTAAAATATTTTGAGACCATTAGTTTGTTACACATGTAGATACCTACCTCCACATTTACACTTTGGTAGTCAGAGTTAACAGGTAACCAGCTGCTGTTGCCTTCAGTAAAACCAGCATTAGCTTTTCCATCCCACTGCATGGGGGATTTCTCTGGGAGGGTTGCCTAGAAAATAGAAGGGATGATTAGCATAATAAAAATTATTCTTTGAATAGCATGTTCTCACCTCTCCCAAATTATCTCCCTTTCAGTATTGCTTTCTTTGGTTTAAGTTAAAAATAATGAGGATGTAATTGTGGTCCAAATCTAAGGAGAAAATGAACCAAGACAGTTCCTGAAATGGAAGGGAGGGGATCATCTCAGATACAGCATTGCTGGGTAAAACGTGGAATTCCCGAATGACTCTTACTAGAGTTGTCATCCTTTGCAACAGATGGTTGGATAAAAGTTTACTGATGGCAGCCAAGATATTCTGATAAATATCTAGACATGCAGAGAGTGAATATGTGAGGTAATGAGTCCTTAGAAGAGATGTCATTAAAATAACAGTAAACAACAAGTAATTGCTGTTCAGTGACTGTTATTTTCTAAGTATTGCACTTTTCACCCCAGAACTCTTCAAGCTTACATTTGCAAGGGGTACAATTTTGACAGGACTGTTTGTGTTAGAAAGGTAAAATTATTATTTCCAAGTGCAAAACTATTGAAAACTGGCTTTTAGCTGATTAAAAAGTGTTGATGTAGAAAAAGTCTGAAGTTCTCATTTTGAAGAATTCAGAAAAATTCTGAAAAAGCTTCCTCATTGTTACTGAAGAGCTGCCAAAAGATCTGACACTTAAATTTAATAATATAAGAGGGCATAAAATATTTTGCACATACTTTGAGTGTTTGTTTTCCATGAAAACTGTTTTTCATATAAAGGACACTTTTCAATACAATCTGTCAGAGCAGCAGCCTAACAAAAGAAATTGTCACTTTGCTTTGTGACATTATAAATAATGGGTTTCTCCTTTTTAGCATATTCTGAAAAGCAGGGAAAAAAATCCTAAGTTTTCAACACTGGTAACACTGCCTCTCATCTTTACCTCTTTCAGTCTCCTCAAGTGTTTGAAGTGCTGGGACTAAAGCCTGTATAATCCTGAGCAAATACTCTCCATTTTCCTAAGACACCCATTAATCAGGGAGCCTTCCTCTCCAGCCTGAGTGAAGGGTGGGTTTGCATTTGTTCCAAAGCCCTGAGCCACAGGGTAGCCACTAAAAGAGAGTGAACCCTGAGGAGCTCAGGGTGAGCCACTTTTCTCAAGAGAATCACTCTTGTCAGCAGTAATCAGCAGCAGCAAGAAAATGCAGAAGATGCTTTGACCTAGGGTTTTCTCAGAGGAAATTATTTCCTTTTAAATCAGAGAATCACTTCCCCATATCTGAATCAGACAAATCTGGAGACGATCCTGTGCTTTAAGTACCTCTTTCCCTTTGATACAAAGCTAGCCAATGCCATGTCTAACACTGCCAGCAGCTGCCTCATTCCCTAACAGGCTTTCCACAGGAAAAGCAGCATCTGCCATAGGACCATGTTCTCATGGTGCTCAAATACGGCCAGGAGAGGCAGAGATGAGCTGCTCCCTTTTGGGACAGACTGTGCATGATGACCAAAAGCCACTTCTGCTTGCCACCAGGCAGCCTTCCCTTCGTGCAGATCCCTTTTTCTGAGCTTGGGCACACTCATGACAGCCATGGCAGGGACAGAATCAGAACCCCAATTTCCTTTAAATAACAGCCAGGAAATAATGGACTCTGGCATGATGATGATGATGATGATGATGAGGGCACTTCCATGGGAGGAAGGAGACAGCTCAGTTATCTTCCCTTGTGTGTCTACAGCACCTCTCCTAAGCCCTGGCCGGGCCCAGAGCTGGCACGTGCTGTCCCTTCTGCTGAAGCACCACTGCTGGAAACCATGCAAGACTGATCCGGAGAAAGACAGAAATCAGCATCCATAAACTGAAGCCTACCAGTTCAGACACACATCCAGGCCTTGGTTCTGGTCTCTGGCCTGGCCATTTCCACATGCTGTACAGAGGTTTGCCATGAGGAACATGGAAAACCTTTTAAGCAGTGAGAATGACTGGGTTTGGTTAGCAAAACAAAAGTTCTTGTGTTTTTGAGTGTTCTGTTGCTTGGAACTAAACAACAACAGGACCAGAGTTTACATGGTCTTCACTTACATTTTCTGATGCAATGTTCTCCATGCCTATTTCTTCACCATAGTAAGTTACAGGAGTGCCAGGGAGGGTTAAAAGCAGCATGTTCATGACATTGATGTACTCCTTCCCAATCCGAGTTGAAATCCGAGCAGCATTAGGACTTCCAACCTGAAGAAAATGTCATTCTGTTAAACACAGATTACAAAATTTCATGCATATGTGAAACTGATTAACTAATTTAACGAGGTGGTAAATGTTTTGGGTTTTTTTCTTTCCCTTCCAGGGCTGTGAGGTACCTTGATGCCATTACAAACTTCTGTTCCAAAAGATTTAATACACAGAAGTCCTGCCAGCAGCACATAAGGCAGAAGTGAGGAAGAGATAACAAATAACAACTGTCCCTGCTTACGGTTCTCTGCTATTTTCTCTGCTGTGTGAGGACTGCTCTGCTTGCTTTGAAAAGATCCTTTGCACATTCCCAACATGCTTCCTAGGAAAAAGAGGAGCAATGTTTTAAGTTAACTGCTCTCCAAAGCCTGCTCCTCTCTGCCCTGGCCCCGGGCGGGTTCCAGAATCCATTGCAGTGAGTCAGTTTATGGTCAAGATAATTATCCCAATTCCATTTTCACTGGTGGTTTAGCCATTGGAGACACTGAGGGAGAGGCATGATCATAAATTCCCATCTGTCATCCTTGCAAGGGGAGTGGAACTGTTACTGAAGGGCAGCAGAGCCGGACAGTGCCAAGCACTCCAACTGCAGCAGCTGAGAGTTTTCACAAGCTCAGCCAGGGCCCAGGCTGCTGCTGATCCCAGTGAAATCAGAGTGTGTGTGTGTGTGTGGTTTCTGTCCCCTACAGGAACAAGCCCTTCCTATGAGAGTTGGTCTAGAACTCTTACTGCCCAGTTTGGCCATTTTCCTGCAGGCATGTTTTGCATCCACGAGTTGACAGCTTCGGAAACACTGTTGCCTGATAGATTTTTCATGTTAATTAGGTTGAAATTGAAGGGAAAATCTGCTTCTTGGATAAAAGTCGTTCCATAATACATCATTGTTGCTTCAATATCTTCCTTTTCATCATCATCAGAACCCATAAATCTACAAAGAAGTACACAAATAGCTTTTTTGGCTCATTTTTGGTTACACAGAACACAATAAAGCTAGAAATGGTTGGACACAGAGCATTAAGAATTATGGTCACTTCCCTCTCCCCATCAAAAAAAGATTAAAATGGTAAGGCAGACAAGCAATCAAGGAGCAGTACTCCTGGGAAATTGCGGGAGAAAAATCTAAAGGAGTCAACACAAGGCTGAAGTATCTGACTGAGGTTTTATCTTTCTGAATCCATGTCCACACACTCCATTCCAGCAATTTCCATGCTTTCCTTCAGAGCAGAGGGCCTGGGGGTCCCTCAAGCTGCCCCTGCAGGCGGCTCAGGGCAGCCTGGGCTGCATTAGGGCAGTGCTGCCACAAGTGAGGGCAGTAATCCTTCCCTCAGTCTGCCACTAGGGCCATTGGGGACTGAAACATCTCCCCCAGGAGCAAAGGCTGCAGGTGGGGCTGATTATCCTGGGGAAGGGAAGCCTCAGGGGGATCTCATCCATGAACTGCAGAGGGTGCAGAGGTGACAGAGCCAGGCTCTTTTCAGGGGTGCCCAGAGCCAGGGCCACAGGCAATGGGCACAAACTGAAACACAGGACAGGTGTTTCCCTGTGAACATCAGGAAACTCCCACCAGTCAGGGTGGCTGAGCCCTGGCATGGGCTTTTCAGGGAGGTTGTAGAGTCTCCATTACTGGAAATGTTCAAAAGCCATCTGGACAAGTTCCTGGGCAACTGGCTCCAGGTGGCCCTAAAAAGCAGGGGATTTGGATCAGAGAACCTCAGGAGGTCCTTTCCAAATTCAACCTTTCTGTGAGTTTAACACTCTCTGACTGTGTGTCTCACTTGAACTGCACCATTAAAACTAAAGAATAAATCAGTCACAGGGTTGATAAATTAGTATCTCTGTGACTAGAATGTTTTCCTTTTCTGCTCTTTATACCTTTATAAAGTCCACGGATGGAGCAGAGGTAACAGAGCCAATTCCTTTCTGCATACACTGGGGAAGAGACAGTACAGCCTCTGCACTGGAGGATTTGCATTTCTGTGGCATATTATGTTCATTAAAAAAAAAACATTTTCTTGCTAGCAAGAGGGAGATGAATATTAGAAAGGACTGGCCAGCTGTGCTGGTTACCTGTATCTGCCAGGCTCTCTGCTGAACTCATCCATGGTGTGACGGAAGCCACGGACGATGTCATGCAAACCAACTTGGGTGGTGGTGTAGTCATGGTAGAGCTGGGAATAGGCTGTGATACTCTCCTGAAAGCAGGGTAGAGTACTTCACATTAGTTCACCAATGTTCTAGGTTTCACAATTCTCCAAATTCTCCCCATTCTTTCCTGAGGCAGGGCACCAGTTAATGAATTTTTACTGAAATGAGTTCAGCATGCTAACACCAACAGCACAGAGCTGAGGACTGATAATTCTGGATCCCATTCTTCAGCAGGGAAAGCCCAGCCACAGCACTGACCAACAGAGCCCATCTGGAGCAGGGAGCACAGCATGAGCAGGGAGCACAGCATGAGCTGTGGCCTCAGACCAGGCTGCAAAGATGGGCAGTGCCTTGACAGAGTAACACACACCTGATATCACCACCTTGGAGCTGGCCAGCTGCCTGTGACCCCCAGCTCCACACAAGTCTCTTAGTGCTGGCACTACCTGGCAACATCACCAAGTTCACTATCAGAGCAAAAGCAAGTAACATAAACAGCAGTGAATGTGTTTAATCACCTCTCATTGTGCCACATGGCCTGTACCAGTGGTTTTTAGTTATGCTCCCGTTCTTACTGGGGCTCCCTGGTGGTGAATGCTCTTTGTGCAGAGGGCCCGGGACCCACCCGCCTCCCAAGGCTGACAATTAAGACCCAAAAGAGTCAAAGCAGGCACTCTTGCCTCCAAAGGAAAAGCAGGAAAGAAAGTAAAGACACGACATAAACATTACTCCGTTCTGAGACTTGTTCACTGGAGGCTCATCCCGGAGATGTGTTGCTTCTAAGAGAAATTTAACAGTGCCAAAACTAAGTCCATCAACTCCTTTGCCGAGCCAAAATTTGATAATGTCCTAGATAAAAGCAAAAATTGAAAAGTCTGAGTAAGCCCACTCCATTTAAAATAGTATACTCTTAAAAAGAAAACTAAACTTGGAAGGAGGTGTTAATACATAACAATTCATTTTTTGATTTGTACTTCAAATTTTTCTAGAAGCTAAAGTGAATCATGTTGATCTAAGGTCAAATTAATAGCTAAATAAAATATGTCTTACTATTTCATTCCTACAAAAAAAAAAAAAAGACTGGTCTCTAACTTCTCCCATAATTCAGGAGACCAAAGCCAGGGCATGGCTCACTAAAAACAGTTTCTAATCTCATCCCTCCACACAACTGGGCTCATGCTAAGTGACGTTGTTGATGAACACTCATGTCATGGCTGCACACAATTAGAACACATTGATTCAAATATGCAGGAATATATTGTTCAGCACAAACCTTGTGCCACCAGTTTTATTTTACACAATAGAGCTCTTAAAACATTTGTTCTCTCTTACCTGACTGATAAATTTTTTTCAGACTTATTTGTTGATTCGCAAGAATATAAGAAATTATTATCCAACAATTACAAATGCTACTGATTTCAAATTTCACTATCAAATTCCAATGTTAGTCACTACTAGTAAAATTATATCCTACTTCACTAATTATATTACTACAGTTTTAATTGCCCCAGTTTTAACAAAAAACTCTAAAGTTCAGTCCCTCTTGAGCGGTTTCTGCAAAGTCCTTTTAGTTGTGATACTTGTCTTCATCAGAGGAAAAAACCATTTTATATATATATTTTTAAAAAGTCTATTGACTTGCCTTTTGTAAACAAATGAAGTACACTTGTCTGAACAGGCTGGAGTAGAACCAGTGCACACTCAAGCTGTACAGATTTTTGTTGGGCAGATAAAAACTGCCTCACTGCACTTTATCATGGCACCGTTCTGAAAGCAGCAGCTCTCAATACAGTGTCTGTCCAATACCGAATCTACCCAAAAATGTCCATGCCTATACCTGTGCTCAGCACAAAAGCAAACCCGGGTATCACACTGCAAACATCAAGCACTGATGTGTCTCTCACTGGCACCAATCTGCATCTATTTACACATGAGAGCCACAACATGCTGGTTGCCCACTTTGGCTCTTCTTGGGTGCCCTTGTGCTGCTGAACCAAAGACTCCAGCTTCTCTGCAGAAGTCCATTTGCATTCTGCTCAGTCCTCCTAACCTTCTGCAACAGGATTTAGAATTAAAACACTAGACAAAAATTATTCTTTAACATGATGCTCACACACATTTACCAAAGCTTGGTGTTACCAGGACAAACTTCCCAGCTTTCAAGTATTCTTTTTTTTCACAGGAAATGCTGGAGTTTCAGTAGTTCTCATTGTGTGCCTGAGTTAAAAGGTGTGACCAGAAGCGTTTTGTCTCTTCGAGCTCACCAGTACCCTCGTGGTGAGGGGAGAGGCCAGCAGAGACCCTCCCAGCAGGAGCGGGCAGCAACAGAGCAAAGCGGCAAACGCTTACAGGTTCAATTAAACACATGAAGTGGCTGTACTACCTGCTGAGGGATAACTTAGAGAAAGGGGAAAAAGAAGCAGCAGCTGTCCTGCTCCCCATATTCAGGCCTACATCCCCATATTTTAATGAGTTCCACATTGTCAGCTAGGAAACAGTGCAGACAGCAATGAGATTCCATCGGAGCAGCACCATCACCACCACTCTCACTGGGAAAAGAAAACACTCATTTTCCCCCTAGAAAGTCATGAGACACGTGGACAGATCGAAACTCGCTATCTCCCCCTTATCAACAAGCCCAGGCATTCCTTGTAATTCAAATCAGCATCGCCTCTGCTTTCCCGAGAATGCAAACATCTCTCTGCTAAACAAGGTGCCATCCCTCCGTTTGGCTGGCTAATTAACAACTCTTTGTATCAACAGAGATAAAAAACTTCTCTGCACTTGCAAGAGCTGCTCTGGGTGGGCTCAGCACCTGGGGGCTCCACACTTACATGGATTTCCTGCTGGACAGCTGCGTTGCGAAAATTCAAGTCTGGCTGCTCCTTCCCAAACTGATGGAAATAGCATTGCTTTCTCACGTCGTCAAACTCCCAGCTGGAATTCCCAAAGACACTCACCTGCTCAGCCAAGGGAGAGAGACAATCAGAACTACTAACTTAACAAACATTTCCTCCTGTGCATCCATTAAAATGTGGGGCATTACAAGCACAAAATGCCTAACCAGTGGACCACATTTTGAACAGATTTTGGTAGTTATGATTTTAATTTCTTTTTGCCACACAGCTGCTCTCCTTTTAGTTGTGCTTTACCACACCTATTTCTTGTTCAGTATTGTAGATTTTGAAATTTTTTTATTAAGTTAACTTTCATTGGGAAATATCTGGAATAGAGGGGGAAACATGCGTGGGAACATTTATTTTGCAATTACTTCTCCTAAAACTTATTTAAAATAGCTTTGGTTAACTTAGAGCTTTCTACAATTTAGTATTATCCCCTTGAAGGGTCAACAACAGTCAGCAAGTTAAAAATGTTAAACTTTATCACCATCTCTCTAATAAAAGATTCCAAAAGCTAAGATAGTTCTTAAGACTCTTAAGTTTAAAGAGAAATTGTACAAATTGGTACAAAGTATTAATTCTACCTGGAGTTTTTAGAATATACAAGCTCCTAATCATGCACCCACTGGCTCTAATCTAAAATAAATCTATTTGAAACAGGCAATGCACTTTCTGGCCTGAGCACTTTCCAAAAAAAAAGGACAAATGCCAAGACCACATTGTTTTGTTGCAACCAGCTATGACTTCAGAATACCTGACACAGTTTCTAGAACAGAATGCCCATACACAGAAGGAACAACTTGTGCCCAACCATTTTTTTGTGTGTGTGTGTGTGTTTATTTAATGAACGAAGATTTAACACTGAGGTGAAGAAACAAAAGTAATTTTTAAAATTTCACTTTAAGTAAGAACTTTTCAAGTGATCTCCCAACCTGGTTTTAATCGTAATCTGCACTAACTCATGTGTAACATCAGTTTGTGCCTCTCACCAGTCACTTACAACCCCGTGTACACCAGGAGAACCATGTTACAGCCGATTCTGCTCTGTGGCACCCAGCCTGGGGTGTGTGCGTGTCCCTTCCCGTGTTTACCCAGTTGTTGGGAGGGATGACTGAGCCAGCAGCCTGCCTGCAGTCCTGCCAGATGTAGTAGTCCGTGTACTTCCCTGTCCGATTGCGGCTCAGCTGAAACCACCGGTGCTTGTCACTGGTGTGGTTTGGTATTAAATCCATTATCACCTTTAGCCCTTAAAAATAAAAACAAAACCATAAAAAACTCCATCAACCCTCCCTCTGCACTATAATGTTACATTTAGCCTTTTAAGACAATATTCATATTTTTTCCAAATGCAGTATCAGAGGTATTTGGGCTTCTTCCATGCCAGAGCTCTGGTGAAGGAGAGGGGAACAAAAACCCCACAAAAAGTACCAGACTACCAAACAGCTGGACCTGACTGGTGTTTGCAAGTAGCTGGAACACAGCTTGTGAGGGAAAGGAGAGTGGAGAGAACAATCAAAACAGATTTCTGCTGTCATGAACCACTTTCACTAACTCTGACTTCAACATCTCTCTGGCACCTCCCAGGTGAGAAAGGCACTTCACCAGCCTAGCATCAGCGATCACACATTCTTCATCACCCTTTCTAAAGAACAGACATTTTATTGAAACCTCAAATATTTTCAGACTTGCAAACCATTTTCTGTTCGGCTCAGCAGCTGTAAGAAGAAACACCTGAGCAAGCACTTGGTCTGAGGCACCAAAGCAAGGATGCGAGGGCAGGAAAGAAGCGTGTGTTCCCTCATGTTCAGTTAGACAGAACTGCACCTCAGCCTGATCCCAGCCCTCCAGTGCCCATAAGCCAGGCCTCAGGGAGCATGGATGGCACAAGCATCCTCCTTGCAGAGGACAGGCAGCCCCTGTGCTACTGCTGTAGCTCCCTGTGCCCTCTGTCCTGCTTTCAGCTCTGCCCCAGAGCCAAGGGGCAGGAGAAGGCAGCCACGGAGCTCACGTGGCTGTGGAGCTGCCTTGTACCCTTTGCTGGCACCTCCATCTGCTCCTGATTAATGCCACCACGGAGGGCCTGTCCCTGTAAGGCCCATATTTTAACAGAGTTACTTTGCTTGGAGGTGCAGCTTACCTTTGTCATGTATGGCTGCAATCAGATTCTCAAAATCTGTCATTGATCCAAAAATAGGATCAATGTCATAGAAGTCTTCAGCTCCATATCCAAGGTCTTTTAAAGGGGACTTAAAGAAAGAGGTGATCCAGATGGTTTTTATATTCAAATATGTAATATGGTCCAGTTTTTCTTGGATACCTATTTAAAAAGAAAAGGACATCATCTGTTCAGAAAAAAACAAAATACTTTTTTTGTACTCTGGTCCCTTTATCTTCCTGACATGTTACTGCGGTATGCAGCTACAGGAACAGCTTCTGCCCTTCACCTGCCAGTACTGCACAGTGTGGCTCTCACTTCTGGTTTAGAAATGCATTGTCCATTTTGGTGCTGAGCCTTCCCTTCCTGCAGGGCAGTCTCAGCTCAGCTACTGATAAGTGCCATTGCTTCCTTGCTACCAGTGCCCCATCTCCACGCATTTTTACCAGCTGATAACACCTAGAGCATGAAGAAAACAAGAAGTAACACATCTTTCTCCCCTCTTTGTCAGTTTTAGTTTCCCTTAGGAGGAGCAGCCAGCAAACAGGACCAGGTGCTCAGCACCATTCATCCTCCTGATTTTGTGGAGGTGTCTGACTCTGGTAGCAGCTGTGCTGCTGCTTGCTCTCAGCACCATATCTCAGCTTCCCTTCTAATTCTGCACTTGAACTCCACTTGGATTTATTCACAACAATGTGAATTGCTATTACCATTGCCTGACAACTTCTCTTACTTCTCTCCATTAAGGTGGCTTTGTCTATTGGACTGTACTTTTCCACTGGTTTTCCTTTTCGTATAACACATACACACAGACAACTGTTACACAGCAAGAATGAAACCTGACCCACCTTTCAGATCCCCATTCCCATCCATGTTGCTGTCCCTGAAGGAGCGAGGATAGATCTGATAAATAGGGCTGGCCTGCCACCAGTCCAGGCACCTGGGAGAAAGAGCAATGATGGCAATTGTAGCACACACGAGCACAACGGCACCGGCAATCACCAGCCAGAAGAGGATCTCCCTGGTGACTCTGTAGCGGGCCTGGCTGGAGAACTGCAGCAGGACCTCCTTTGGCATCCCAGCATAAGGCTTCAGCACTGTCTCCTCCACAGCCACCGGCTCCACGTCAACACTGCACGTCTTTGGCATTTCTTCTTGGCTACTGGTGGCCATCTCCTTGTCCTCAAAATCCTCATTTTGAACAAATCCATTGTTCTGTATGCCTCCCTTCTCACTCAGCTCCATAGGTAAGCTCCTAGCTTCCACCTCAGCTCTTCTGCTAGACAGCACTTGTCCTGGAGACTCTGGCCACAGCACCTTTGTTCAGTGAAATGAGAAACAGTGCAATTAGCTATTCTGGGTTGATAAACAATCCTGACCAACTGGTCAAAGTTCAAAAAGGGACAAAAAGGGCAAAGTGCTCACGATGTTCTGCATATTCCACATCTTCAGCAAGATAACAAAGTGCTAGGAGAAAGGGCAGTCCCCCTGGGAAGTGAAGCCTATTGTTGGTACCAGCTGAGCACAGTTATATTTACTCGTGCTCTCTCCAGTACACCACACTTCTCTTCCCTTTGACATCAGGGGGAAATTCAGGTTTTACCAGTACCAGATCTAGTAAATATGCAGCTTTCCAGACTGGTTGTAGTCCCCCCTGCCTGAAGCAATCCAAATATGGATAGTTTAAACACAGACAGCAAGAGAATGAAGTGTTGGCAGCCACTGGCCCGAATGCAACAGCACAAACTAAGCAGAAAAGAGTCAAAGGCTGGTTGTGCATCTTTTTCCCGGTTTAACTCAGCTGCCCCAGCCCACCCCCAAGCCTAAGCACCACCAATGCTGGGTACATACCGATCCTGCGACTCACAGCCGGGCACGTGGGGGGGACGGCTACACCCAGAGCCAGCCCCGGGGCACGACAGGAATGCTCTGCACAGGCACAAGCCAAACTCAAGGGAAACACCCGCTGCCCACTATTAAAATCCATCCCTCCATTAAAAGAAAAAAACAATTTAAAATTTTAAAAAAGTAAAAAAGGGGGAAAAAATAAATGTGTATAAGAATCTTTCCCTTCTCCCTCTTTCCTTCCTTTTCTGCTACAAAGTCTGCACAGACATGCACATCTGTAGACATCTGTGTGCCTTAAGCCCCAAGTGCCTAAAGTCAACATCAAGATATCCCTTTCCACCAGTACCCCCTGCCCAGCATACCAAAGGACACACAAAGCAATCCAGATTTGCCAAGGAGCTGCCTTATCACCTGTAAAACTCCTACCTCTGATCATAGGGTCAGGGTCCTAAGGAAACTTTTGGAGAGTGCAGTGGAAACAAGGTTGGGTTGTGACTCAAAAGTGTTTATTATGTTTGCCTCAAGCCACAAAAGAAGTTTATAAACTACAGAGTGCAAACAGTCCAGTATGCAATATTCAAATTACTCAGAAAAGTGTTATTTCTGCAGTAGCTGAGCTAAGAATGGGTATTTGATGCTGACAGATTTAATCCTTCCTTTTCCTAGCACCAGTTCCTGGCAGTGTCAGGCAGCTGTGGGAGCATCTGAGATAACAGCTGTAGTGCCAGTGCCTGTAATTCAGTAGCGCCAGGAGATCCAGAAGTGGGAAATTATTAACAAATAATAATGTTAAATGGTTCACTCCCATTTAATGACTCTACAGTCCTAACATCATCATATCAGTAAGCTGTAAAAGTTTCCAGAGAGGCACTGTGCACTCAGGGTGTGCCCTTGTATTCAACACGATGCCAGTGACTCCTCACTCCCTTTCAATTGTTTAATTTCAGTGTCTTAACTTGTAATGAAAGTAGAAAATGTGCAAATACAGAAATTTTTTTTTGACTGCATGAAATACACCTCAAGACCTGGTACTCCCCAGCTTGCTTTTTGCCCCCCAAACTCAGAGGTTTCAAAGCATAAGTATCTTCCTGCATACACAAAAGCTCCCTCAGTCACCCAAGCACAGCAAAGCAAGCCAGAGGCAAGAGCAAATGATGGCCAAAACATAGACATCTGCCACAGATGCATGGGTCTCATAAGCCAAGGAGACTCAGGACAGTCAGGTGGAGAGTGTTACACCCACCAGTCCTGCTGGAATCAAAAGAAGGAAACTAGTTCCAAGTATTTCAGCTCCATCAGTATGCCAGTAAACTCTCTGATGATTATTGCCTGCATGGACAAGTTTATTTGATCTAAGGACACAGCCAGCTTACCCTTGACACACATACTTTTACAGCTGCTAAAGGCCAATTTAGCATCTCCCTAGTCAGAAGCTGCCACAGCTCTCTGTATGTGTGGCTGGGAATCCTTTCCCTTCCCCTATTCGAGCATCTTGCGGGAGCAGCCTGCTTTGTGAATCCTGCTGTGCCAAAGCCGGGCCTTCAAAAGAGCCCCTCATGTCCTAATGTAATCCCCAAGTAACATTAAAGGCTTATTTATACCTTAAGTAGGGCAGATCGTGTCTTAATTGCCAAGCGTGTGGCTGAAAAGAGGAGGATTACAGTGCTCTGGTAGATAAATGCAGCAGGCGGGAGGGAGGCGGAGGCCATGGATAGATGAATCCCGATGAGTCCATGTGCGCCATGGCTGCTGGCTGCAGGGCACACAGAGCTCCGGCGACACGGTCACCGTGAGGGTGACAGAGTGTGAGCCACGCTGCAATGACCAAGTGGCAGAGCTGTGAGCACGCAGTGTGTAGCGCCGGGCTGAGCGGGCTCACGGCGTCTCCGCGACAAGAGCTGAAGCCAAGCGGGTGCCAGCGGAACACAGGTACACTTAGGCTAGACACCCGGGCCTCAAAGCCTAAAAATTCCTCTTGAAAGCTTGGAGAAAATATACAGCCAAGGAGCTTAAAATAGGTCTGGATGATCAGCTACCACAGACCCAGGAGAACGAACACAAGAATCTGGGATTGTCTCCTGAATGATTTTCCTCACAGACTAAAAATAAAACCACACAGGTATTTTGTTGTTATTACAGACCTATTTTTTTTCCTCTCCTTATCCTGAGGAGTTGCTTGCCTTAAAATTATTTGATAAAGGAATAACATAAACTTCATCTTAGAAAGGCAGATCACCAACAATTCCCACTGAGCTTTAACTTTTTCCTTTTAAAACATATTTTATGTATGCAGGCATTATGCATCTGGCTTGCTGTCAAGCAATTCTGAAATGGTTCCCTCCTGAGCTATTTTACAGTTTAGCAGGAGTAACTAGCCAGCGTAACTGTGTTAGCAGAATCCACTGAAAGGCATTAAGTAGTAAAGAAAACACTTCATATTCTGTGCCAGTTACTCTGTTTACCTCGGGGTTAGGTAGGGAAACAAAACCAATCTGTATGTGGGCAGTAATAGCTGCTATCTCCACACAGATTGCCATGGTTATTTCTGTAAGATGGAGGGGTTAATTTTCACAAGCATTTCTTATATATAATTATTTAGATGCACTGACTGACTTAGTCATCTACTGTTTGATGCTCTACAAATGCCAAGTAGCTTGCCAGTTCCTCAATACCACACATATTACGCCAAAAACCATGCAGAGGGGTGATTATGCACCCTAACGTGCTAAGTGTAGGAAGACATTTATTGTTAAAAAGTTCTCTTGCTTTATGCTTTTTCATTAAAAGGTTTGTTGCCACTGGAACTCTTCTGACATAATGCACTTTAAATATAACTTCATTATTTACAGAACCAGGGCCAGATTTACAGGTATGTAAAAAAGGCAGACACCTCAGCAGCAGCTTTACCTCAGCAGCTCCCACAAGACTGGTGGATAATCTGACCTTTAAAGCTACCTTTCACTCAGCACTAAGAAAATCCTCCCTTGACCTGGAGGGCAACTGTCAAGAGAGAGAAGGTCTAGGGGAACAAGTTTCTGACACAATATCTTTTACCAGGAGCATGTCTGAAGGTCCTGCCATCAGCCTCAAGTCCGGGGGGTGGCAAAACGTAATTGCACAGGACACCTGTGACAGGCTTTAGCGGGGGTTTTGTTACTTTTTTAATGCTCTTAGTCCACTATGGACAATGTGATTAAAGGTTCGTGTCATTATAAATGCTGTAATTAGCTACTGCTTGGCTCAGGGGATATTTCAGGGGTAGGTTTCAGGGGAAGGAGGCACCCAGCCGCTGCCCCCCATGGCTGATCTGCAAGGCAGGCCTCTCCCACTATTTTTAATGAAAACAATTAACCACTAATTCCTGCTGTTATCATAGCTGCAAGAACAAGAGCACGCAGCATTGACTCCTGGCTGCTTCCCCCCAGAGGGTCAAACACTACATACAACCCACAGAAAAACAAACCCAAGGTTTGTTTCTTCTCCAGGATGATGCTCACTCACATAAACTGTGCACATTTCAATTTATACTCTTCTCTTTGGGGCATTCATCTGCCCCGTTTCTGTCATAGAGGATGACAACTTCCAAAGGATTTTCTTTTCCAACCTACTCCTCAAAACCTTTTCCAGCAAGAGACCCAGACCTTGCTCTTCCCCTTGCACGAGCTGGAGAGGTTCAGCATGGTACTAAATCATGGCAGACTGCTGAAGTTTGGATGGCTCTAACTCAAGAGTGACCCTGAGTTACTGAAACAGCCCTGAAGTGGGAGATCTGCAATACAGACAGCACAGCCAGGCCGCCCAACAGGAAGCCAAGGAGAAACTCAAAAAATAAAATGGCATCCCACTACATCATCACCGCATCCATCCTTGGGGTTACCAAAAAGACAGCACCCCACAAGCTGCATCTGCCTTTGCCAGGGCTTATCTCTGAGAACAATTTAAATCCACTGAACAGGAATCCGAGGAGCAGGTTTTGGTCTGCTGAGCACAAAGCACTTCTTGTGGAAGAATGAAGGACTTACTGGAAGGGGCTGTCAGGCAACAGCTGTCACTACATGAGCACACCTACTGCCACACTATACAGCTTTTCACAGTGCCTCAGCTTCCCCACCTGCAGGAATCACACACGCAGTATCACAGATATATTTAGTACTCCATATAAATTTACTCCTTATCCCTTGTCTCTCTCAGTGCATCGTGATAGGCCCTCCTGCAAACAATTTGCTTTTTCACAGATATCAAATCAGTCACAGGTATTCCATGATGAAATGTTCTCAGGTTGTGCTCCTGTGAAATAATTTCCTCCTGGAAGAGCTCAGTTCATATCAAACATCTCCAGTCTGTACAGAAAGCTTTACTCTGCAGTACTGAATTGCACCCCAAGGTTCTTACAATGGCTGCTTCTGACCAACAGTTCATGGACTCCACATCAGACCATTCACAGTCCAGCCGCAGTAATGGCTGTCAAAAACAGAGTGAGCACTGGAAGTGAAACCAAAGGACTGAAAGCACACTTTCTGTAAAAAAGCCCCAAACCAACAAAAATCCTATTCTTCCATTCAGGACCTAGCACGCTGCACAGCAACAGCTGGCACATGCAAGGGTCTGTACTCAGGGAAGGGCTCTCTGACCAGCACAGACTAGACCTCTGTATCAAGAAAACATTCCACAGCTACAAGAAGTATTTTCCAGATATACCATTCAGTGTGGACACAGGTAGCAGAACTTCACCTTAAATTCATATTCACCTGAATGTGTAACAACTGAATGAAGACAATCTTTACTTCTGTAGTTGCAAGAACTGCTAAAACTCTAAGTACTACCCTCACAAATACTGCCTAAAACAAGTTTTGTTTTGGAACCATCTGGCATTCAGGATCCAGCCATGTGGGTGAAAGCACTGCTTGGTGCAAGGTGAAGAAAGAATCACCTGCAGCGAATACCAGCCTTTCCATTTTGAACTTCATGAGTCCATGGAACTGTGTGGGCTCTTCAGTGCCAGATCTCACACTGCTTATCTGCACAAAATAGCTCTGGCACCTCACTTGTTTGTGCTGGTGAACCAGAGACAAACAACCCCACTCCATTCTCTCCACTCTAACAGAGAAGCAATTCAGCATCACACACACCCAATCCCCCCTCCAAGAATAATCAAAGTACATTTCTGCTCTTCATTTCACATACATCATGGCAGTCTCTCACAGCTCTCATGCTGCTAGCTCTGCTATGCTCTTTGGGAGCCTGGTCTACCAAGTACAGGGGAGCAGTGCAAACTGCTTTTATTCTGAGTGGATGCCCTGCTTGCATTTCAGAGACAGATCTTTCAAACATTTGAATACTGCAGGCTGAACTAGAAGACAGCTGTACAACATCTTCAAGTCAGTGATAACATAACACCCATTTGGTGTATATTTTTCTCCTTTCCCTTCATTTAATACAAAGTCTTTTTATTTAATGCAGTTCAAAGCATAGGGGCTACTAAGATCATATGAGAAGTCACATCTATAGTCACAAAGCTGTAACTTTGTTGGGTTTTGCTGGATTTTGGTTGTTTTTTTTTTTAGTTCACAGAAACAGCACTAGAAATATGGTAACAGCATGTAAAGAAGTTGCTGCAATCAATTACTCCCATGCTTGGATCTCTGGGTTTTTTAAATTATTGAATGTGAAGTTTAATGCAGTAACTGTAATCTCTGAAGCAGCAGCAAGGAGCTTCCAACATATTTTTAAGGTAAGGACAAACAGGAATGAAGAGATGAATGTAAAATAGATTTCACCATTTTAAAACTTCACAGGCAGCGTAAAGCAAAAAGTACTAAGAGACTGAGAAGTTCTTGTAAAGCACCACACTTCCAAACACCTTGACACTGTTTGTGCTGGCAGTGTATTTCCAAAAACTATCTATCTCCTTCCAAAGTAAATGCAGATTTATTGGAACTGGAAAGAAAATTTGGTTTCATTTAATACATTTTCTGCTCTCAGTGTTGAAATAGGATTATTTAAAATACACTAGGAAAACATATCTGCTTTACATACCCAGGCCAAAATCCTTCCTATACCATTAAAATTAGATGCATTTATGAAGATGACCATTGGATAGAGGATTAAAAAAACCAAACCCCTCATATCATGCAGTTTCCCCTAATAACAACAAGTTAAATAATGTAAATTATTTGAATATTAGGCAGGCATCCACCATTTTGCATCTGAATAACCTGCCAAACAAAATAAAAACAATATTCAAAGAATTAATTTGATGGGAATGGTGTTAAGAAGCTTCCTTACGAAAAAAATGGGAAATATCTCTTCATTAATGCAATTTAAATATGCATTTTACTTCAAAGTTAAAATACATTTACTTCAACCTTCCAACTAACTTCTAAATGTAAGATATTTATTAATCTACATGTTCACTCCCCAAAGAAGTAGCTAAAATACTTCAGTATAGAATGGTGCATTTTCACCACAGTTTCTCTTTTTGCACATTTTTTAAAAAGACAATTCAGGGATTTTTTGAGAAAATGTAAGTCTTGCAAGGAATGTAACATACACAAATATTTTTAGGTTCTCTTTGTAAGTCCTGGACACTAGCTTCCAAGAGGAGGGTTTTATCTCACAAGAGAGAATTTTCCTTCTATGAATTTCTGCCCAATTTATTTCACTTAAGCTTTACAGCTCTTCCAAAATGATGAAGGCAGAACACATTTGGTCATTTTCTGACAGAACTTTGCACGTAAGCTCTCTGAATAATGTTTGGTCCAAAATATTCCATATCTACCAAACATATTCCAAAAGCCAACTGAAATAGGCCAGAAAAATCACTAATTCTGTATTTAAAGATCAAAAAAGCTTCCAACACCACCATCACACTTCCATCATCATTCAGTGGTCTCATGAATCTCATTCCAGCTTTTTAAAGGTCAAGTCAGGGTCCCTACAACACTAAACAATACTCCACCATAGACTCAACTTCCCCACAACTCACCTTAGATTCCAGAAGTCTGAGAAAGCAGAAAACCAGAGCCAGAGTTACTTCTGAAGCAGACTTGTCACAACAGGAAGAATTATATCCAATAAGACTGTTTGAATTAGTTGCCATAAGTCTTTAGTATGTGTATTCATTCCTACTACAGTGTTTTTCATCCTTTACTGGGAAGGATAATTGCTTTCAGAGAAAGATTTCCCAACTGATGGAAAATGCCCATTTTTTTCTCCTATCAGCCCATCCCCAGACCTGAACCCTTATCAGTCTTTGTTATGCTTAAAAGCAGGTGCTGATGCAATCATTAGTTGATGATTCAGCCATTAATCACAGCAACTGATCAGCACAGCAAGGATTTTTCTCTGAAAATTCCCACTCAGGCTGCACATAGACAAATAAGGAAATAAGGAAAGCCAAGAATCAGAAGGAAGATCTCAATAATCTCAGTCAGCATTTAAATCCAGACATCACAGCAAAGGAGAACTTTAAGATTTCTGAAGACAGAAATGTAAAGTCTTTGGGAGCACATGACCTTTGAGACATACAAAGAGCAAAGCACAGCAGCACTGGTGAAGGGACAGAGCGAACGATGGAAATGAGAGATGAGCACCAACAGTGAGCTGAACACAAAGAGGAGGCACAGGCAGGCTAAAATGCAAAAGTTGCTTGTGTTTTGATCAACAGAGAGGCATCCAGCTACCAACATGAAACAGCACAAAACAAGCAGAGCTAAGTCAGGTCTGTACAGCAACAGCCCAAACAGAGAGAGGACAAGTTCAGGTTGGCACACAGAGAAAACAGGTCACAAAGACATAAGAGGTGGAGCCTCAGCTGCATAAATTGCATACTTACTTGGATTAGACAGCATAAATTCAGTGACTTTGGGTTCTTTCTTGTGGTTTTGTCAACTTGCCTTCATCTCTGGAAGTATCCCATGGAGTTGCTTACCTGCACTAGTGCAGCTCCCTCCAACTTAATTTCCAGTTTAGAGCTAAAAAAGAACTATAAAGAGCCAAAAGCAACAAGCCTTCAGACAATCCTCAAGCCAACAAACTGCAAATTAGCTGATAATTGAAAACTGCTTAGCATTGTAGCCTTTTTTTTTTTTTTCCATTATAGGCCTATACCTAATGATACAGCATTGCTTTTAGCTTCATCTTCCAGAGACAAAAGTTGCCTACTATAGTTTGGTACAATGCTGAAACTAATTTGGAGTTCCTATTGTTTTTGATTTCCACTCTAAGTGCCAAAGAAAAATGACTGGTTTTCAGGGGCTAATTTTACTATTTTAGATTTAAGCTAGTAATTATGGCTGATACAAAAGTTCAGAGATGAAGTAGCTGACTGAACTCCACTTTACATGATACCAAGAAACTACTTCACCACTAACAGCCAGTCTCATGTGCTAAAAGAATCAACAACTTAACAGTTTGTTTGGTTTTGTGGGTTTGGATATTTTTGTTGTCGCTTTTGTGTTTTGGATCGTTTTGTTTTAAACCACCCAAACAGCAACATCAGCATCAGATTCACATTTAGGGCCATGAAGAATGTGGATATTTTGGCCAGGTCTTGCAAAGGTTTGCATGCAGGTTCGAATAACCACATGAAGATCCAGCCTATTATGAGGACACTGTCATAGTCTCTCATATGAGACTTCTGAGGTCAGAGTGACATCATCTATATTTGCACCTACTTCATTACCCTTATTCCATTTAAGATGTTAATGAGGAGCAGTTAAAACAGATCTTTATTCTTCAGATTTGAGAACTGACATGGACTGCTTTGCCTCTGTTACAGGAGGTCATAAAAATCAAGCCGAATTTGATACAACAGAAAGACCCCAGGTGGAAGAGGTACTTCCCACTCTCAGTATTCTACATAACTATCTTTGTGTTAGTTACCGGGTAGCAATAAAATCAAGACAATGTAATTTTAAAATGTTGACAAGCTATGGCAAATACAGGAACAAATTTCATCATTCATTCAGATTTCTCACACTAAGAATACAAAGTCAACAAGCAAAGTTTTTCCCAAGCTGCTATAATCTACGTAGTATTTAGATTAAACTAAAAACATGACTAGGATTCATAACCAAGTGGATGCATGAATGGCAAGTAGTGATAATTTAGGGGTAAAAAAAGCTGTCTTGATTTACCTTTTGTTGTAGCTGGGCAAGCCATTAGCCTTCTCTTTGAAAAACCTGTGTGTATGCTGCACTTCAATATAAGGAAGCATCAACCCTTGTACTTGAGGGAGATTATCCACTTAATGTAAAAAATGTACACAAAGAAGTGTTCACGGAACTGGAGCCCATGGAATACCAGAAGTCTCACCAGTGGAACAAGGCATTAAAACTGTAGCTCATGAAGAAAGCATGCAGGGGTTATGCTGTACAAGCAAATCCAACAAGAACGTTCAAAGAAGTTAGAGACATGTAGACTCAAAAGTCTTCAGGTTGTTTGTAAAGATGTCCATTCTAAAGTAACACTAACTATCCAGGCAGGTTATTACCCTGCAGTATCAATATCATGGAAAATCCATGCACCTTTTCAACTAAAAAACTATATTAGTAAGTTGGGGAAAAAAAATCTGTAAAAGTTCTAACATGAAAGCATTAACATCAGAGAAATTTCTATTCAAAGCTGTTCAACAGTGAAATGTCATAGGTTTAAGTGCAGATCTTTAAGAAACTTCAAGAAATGAGCTGAGCAAAAAGTCTAGTTGAATCTGAATTTTTAGTCTTTAAATGAATACTCTCCCATAGCTGGACTAAGACTCCAGCTAAACTTGGGATGGGGATTTGCCCTAGAAGCACTAAATGTTGTTAGCCCTTTCCTTCCTCCCACAGAGAAGCCCACTTTGAGACTTGTGCTTTTCTGGGATGAAGGGGCACATCTGCAACAGAACAACCAGAAATCCATCAACCAGGCGACCTCATAAATCTTACTGGGTTATCTTTTCATATGGAACACTTGCATCCTCTTAGTAAGTCCTTCCCAAGAAAATAGAAAGCATGTCACACTGTTTTAGCAATCCTTTATTGAAGATAACAAGTTGGTTATGTTCACTGTATTGTATGAAACATCACAATATCATACTGGGAAGGTACTATCAGTACAGGGTTGGACCAGAGCGGACAGTCTGAACAATAAACCATTTTGCATTCTTCATTCCCTACCTTTTAACAACCCCAAAAAAACCAGTAAAAGGGACAAATACCTGTTAACATCATCATTTAAAACACTTTAACTTACAAGGCTAAAATCTAATGAATAAATAAAATATACTGTGGCAATAATCCTCTCTAGACCAAAAAAAAAAAAATAATAAATCAGATACACAGTGAATCAAAATGACTGGAAAAGCTGGCCTTCGGCATCAGTATGAAAGAGCGTGTGGTTTTTACAGACTCACCATGGGGATAAAGTTACAGAAAAATACCATGAATTTAATTTCACACAAAACCAGTTGATGACTGTCATTAGCTTAAAACTACACACAAGGGCAATTACATCCTCGCTGAAACACAGTTTAAACAAATAGGAAAATGTTTACAAGGCATCCACAGCATGTAAATCATGTACAGATGGATACATTCATTGTTTCCCCTCCCCAATAGCTTTTATTTTAGATAAATACTTTACTCTTCCCCATTTTCAGCATTTACTGGACTCATTACATGCACAACTCAAAGAAGTCAGAAAAAAAGTCAAGGTTATTGCAAAAATAGAATTAAACTAAGAATCTTCAAGTACCTTACATGACAGCCACTCTGTACCATGCCCATTGCTTATAAAATGAAAGGTCATTGAACCCATGAAAATATCTCTAATATTTTCTTAATTTAAAATAGATAATTTTAAGTGTATTTATAGTAATCTCAAAGTGATAATTTGAACTTTGAAAATAATGCAAACAATTAAAAATTATACCCATATTACACAAGACTTCTGTCTGTATCTTAAGCTGAAAAAAAATCAAAAAACTATAGAAAACCACATATAGAACAAAAAAATAATCACAATTTACATTATAATAAAGGCAAATTTTCAGCATTTTTAAAAAAACCTGCAGCTGTGAGAGATGTCAAAGCAAGTCACTACTAACTATAAATTCACCAGTTTGTTTTTTTTCAAAAAGATTTTCTCTAGCAAGAGTTGAAGGGTGTGTTGTACACATGCGTAAAATTCTTACTGGTTTTAGATGCCTAGAATCTTCATATATTATTGCCAAATAATACACTTATCTTCAAGCAAGCAGTAGGCAATGTATCACAATTTGGACACCGCAGGGAGACCTAACGGTCTGGTAATACAGGTAAAACTGGAAAATTTTAAAAAAAACCAAAAAAACCAAAAAAATACACATCTGATAGCGTATTGCCCAATTGAAATTACTTCCAAGCCACAGAGCTGCAAAGCCTTCCAACTTGGTAAAGTGAAATAAGAAATGTCTCAAACAATTACTTGTACTCTCTCTCAAGCTTGTGTGTTGCATGTTTCATTTAGCCACAGTGTATCTTCAGAGTAGGCCTACAATCCCGTGCACCTCAGGTACACACACCAATCTGCTGAGAGAATATTCCTTCCTTCCTTCCTTCCTTCCTTCCTTCCTTCCTTCCTTCCTTCCTTCTTTTTTAGGGCCAAAGTTCATTACAGATGTAATCAGTATGCCTGAGGCTGGTAAAAATACTGTAGTACAGGCAATGCTAAGAGTGGCAATATCAGAGAACACAAAAATGAACAAATGATGGAAAATTCTATTATCTTTCTGCCCATTTCACAAAATGTTGGAAATCCACCAGAAATTTTCCCTTGTATTGAAGAAATCAGATTTAAAAGTTTTTTTCCCCCTTTCAGAATCAAAAGCATTTTAGCAGATTTGTAAGGCTACCACGGATCTTCTAGATCTCCAGAACCCTACAGGAAAAGAAGAGGAGAAACATTACTACTCACCAATACAAATGAAAACATTTTATTGCACTTTGGATTTCAGTGGCATAATTAAGAAGAATACTAGCATTAAGAGAGAAAACATTTTTCTTGTTTTCCATACCTGCCCACTTCCATACACAAATATTTCCTGTTTGTCAACATCATGATGGAATGTACTTTTACAAAACATGAATCCAGTATAGCTCTTATAGCAGAATGACTCAAAACCAACATTTACCTCACTAAATCACTACTATCAATACATAATATATCTGTGGACTACAAACCCAAAAAAAAAAACTCTACAAAACACTATGGAACTCCTCTTCTCAGGTATTCCTGGTTCAAAAGAAATTCCTGCAGGGTCATTTTTGTTAAGGCACTGAAATTTGTACCTGTTTTGAACAACTATATTTTTGTGCACATGTTATGTTATGAACTGACAACTGACACAAGCTTAGAGATTTCACTTATTAGCAGATGAGCTACCACTAGTGCACAGTCCCAGTATTACCATGGACCTACCCAAATGGACATACATGTATGTGGTGTGCCCCAAGAAACAAGAAAAGATGCGGCAGAAGGCAAGCTTTAGAAGAATAGTTTATTCATTTATACAGCTGATGTTTAGCTTGAACCTGAGAAATGTTGCTCAGTACAGTGAGCAATACAAATGCTCCAAACCCAAAAATCACTCAAAGCTTTGTAGAAACTAATGAACACACTGAGTTTGCAGCAGAAGCTATGAAAAGTTTCAAGTCATGTCAGAGTGATAACACTTCAAAGAAAGTTTATTACTCACTTAAAAGCGTCAATATGCATACAGATATTATTCCACAGCATATTCTTTATTTTCACTTGTTCACAAATTACTGTAACTTGACACTAAGTACTATATTTAAGTACATTTTCATTTCTGGGTGTGTGCTATGCTACAACCTGAGAAGTAATAATACCGTTGTCTAAAAAATCAGTACTTATGATGAACACTGGATACAATCTAAACTAAAAAGGAAAAAAAAAAATCAAACATTTCGTAAGTGACAACCTAAAATAAAACAGCTTTTGTAATTTAGCTGTAATAGAAACTATATACAAATCAAAAACAAACATGCAGTACATAATGCTGGGAGAAAAAAAAAACCTGAATAATTTGTATAATTCAATTAAATTGCACAAAAGATACAACTAAGATGTAAATTACTTTACAAACATACACCATCAAAACTATTATTTAATAATGTTCTCAAAAGAAAGTTTTAAAACGCCTTTTTGTGTATCATGTTAGACTCCTGTTGTCGGTGACACAGGATTTGAAAAAAGATCAAAACCTCAAACGGGCAGTTCCATCTCGCTACACAACTTCGGATGCAATAACTAACATCCCACCGTAGCTGAACTCGTAAGGAAGTCAGAGCTGTGTACAAACACTCTGTACAGGTAGCACAGTAAAGCCAACCAGTGTTGCGGGCTGGCAGCGCGGCGGTGCGATGCGAGCGGGGACGCCGCGGCGGTGAAGCGCAGCGCCAGCGGGCCGCGGGTGTCACGAGTGCTGCTCGCCGCTGCCGTCGCTGCCCGGGGCCGGGGCCGGGCCGGGGCCGGGTGGGGGAGGTACCTGGGCAGCGTCCGGTACCTGCAGCTGCGCCAGGCGGTACCCGGCCAGCATCTCCTCCAGCAGGTGGCGGTAGTTGCCCCTATGATTAATCCGCATCTGCCTCAGCGCCTCCACCAACCTCCCCTGCGTTCCGCCTTCCTCGGCCGCGCCGGGCTCCTTCGGTTGAGATTCAACACCCCAAAAAGATCAGTAGTTAAACTAAAAGTTTTTCTAACCACATTAAAAAAAAAAAAAAAAAAGCAAACCGAAAAACCAATCTTTTGTTCAAACTGAGAAAGCAACTCTCTATTTGAATGTAAAACACCTTATTAGCAACATACAACTTAGAACAGTGTATTTCATGTTCATCCTTTAAAACAACATAATTTAAACAATTATAACTATGAAACCAGCATTTTTAATAATTTCAATTCATTTTGAGCCAGAAAAACTACCTCCTCCCAATTAACTCCATCTTTATTTCAAATGTCTTAGATAAATACAGATGATACACCCCCACAACTTTGGACATTTATCAGTGGAAAATTTTGAAAATTTAAGCTTCTTTAGCCACCAGGTCCATATATTTAATTGTGAGTTTCTGCACAGCCAGTAGCGAGTAGCAGCACAGTTCTGTGAAAAACTCAGAGAATAGCTAACTCTACTCATAGTAGTTTAGTTGAAGCATCACATCAAAATAAAGGCTCAGTGTTTTAGTGAACACACTCTGATTTTTGCATGCATGATGCCGCCAGAAAAGCAAGCAGCTACCCATGAGTGTGGGGAATGCTGGTATTTGAACAACATAAGACACACCTTAGGGCAGACTGTGCGTTGCCTGGAAAAATTAGCAGGTAGAATAGTTGTTTAATGTCAAACCTGAGAACCTTCAGTACAAAATCTGATCATTGAGTGCTGATTAAGGAATGGAAGTTTCTTCAGCAAATGACCTGCTTGGTTACAAGCCTTCAGTTGAAAAAAGTGTCATGTTTTTTGGTGAGAGACTTACAGTGCTTTGACACTGATACTAGGTATTTTCACTTTCAAGTGCTAAAGCAGTACTGTTGCTTTAAGGGAACAGTACATTTTAAATTATTAATATCTAGCAACTTATCAATCTAGACAAATGAAACTATCTCTGGAAGCTGGCAGATTTTCAAGACATTAGAAGCACAATCCAGACTGCCTTGTTTTCATGCTGACCTCATTTTATTGTCATGTAATCCAAAAGCTTCCTAACTACAAGTACTGCTGCCATTCATTTACAAGCTTAATAGCAGTATTGAGAAAATACCTTGGGATCTGTAAGATTCTGCATTTTCTCTGTAATGTTGCTGGAATAAAGGCCCCAAGACTGATTAGCACAGTCCAAGTTAAAATGGGGACAATTTTACCACAAAAAGGAGTATTACTGCATATAATGGCATCCCTCTAAGTTTAATTTGTTCAGGAAATACGAGACAGACTTTCACTGTGGTTTGCTGGTCTTAGTTTGAGATGTTTTGACTCCCGTGTACTAGCATTTTCACATTCAAATATGAAAATATTCAAGAGAATATTCAAGAATTCAATACTCTCTTGTCTTCAAGAGCACAGAGAGGAGAAGCAAGATAAAGGAGATAGTTTTAGTGTATGAAATGGAACTGCTCTAATATCTTACAAGCACAATGTCGGCAAAAACCCAGGGCACCAAGAATGGGCACAGTTATATCCTGTTTCTTGGTTTGACAAAGAAAAGAAACTGACTTATGTATATACCTAGCTAATATTAAACAGGGCAATATAGCTGAAGACTTACAGTTTTTTAAAATTCAGGGAACATTTAAATTCCATATTTCATCTACTCCATCAGTTTTGCTCTGAGGTTGACATTAGCACACATACACCCTGAAATTTCCACATTTCACAATACCGAGATCTTTAAAAATTCCTTTGGCAGACTGAAGTGAATAATTTTGCTCCATGCAACACTGAAGAGTAAAAGCAATAAGCAATATAATAGCAGCCCTGAGGCTCCTAAGCAATTCAAATGCTGGTAGGAGCTGAATTAGCAATGCTGTTAGCGTTTGATATTCAAACTCACATCCTGCATGGCACTGCACCCTATTTTACAGCAGGCTATGTCGTGCTTCCCTTGTGTCCCTCAGTGCTAACAGACAAGAAACCCCACGGACAGTAGTACAGAAATTGCCTCTTTTATATGTTATACGCTACATAGACAGAGATTTTTCTCTAATGATGTGTGGCTAGAACAGGTCCCTGAAAACTATGGTTATTGTGCAAGGTAGCATTTGCCTTCCTTCACATTTCAATTCAACTGAATCGCTATTGACCATAAAATCAGGAATAAATTTGTGCTAGCTATATTCAACATGAACATTGACAATTTTTACACAAGTTTTGTGCTATTAAATTGTGTATGAAAAGGGTTGCAATGTATTGAAGACTGGATTTATAATATTGTGAGAATGATGTAAGAGTTGTGTCCATCTACATTTTATGTGTAGCAGCCCTTAATGGCATCTGATTTGGTTCAGCCAACCGCCACAGTATATTATTAGTAAAAACAAGAGCGAAATATTATTGATTTCAACTAAGATGCTCAAAGGCAGCTTTAAGCAAATGCCACTGAAACTATTAATACACCCACTGCAATTTTAACATTCTTTCTTGTGTTTAAGGATATATACATATAGTGAAGTAGCCTAATCAGATAGTAGTCTCCAAGTCTTAGGAACGCATCAAAAAATTAAAATGGTCAGAGTAGAGTCACAGAAGAAGAGTAGTACTTTAGCACAGGAAGTAAGAACAACTCTTCAGTGGTATTGTAACATCACAGTGCTAACAATTATTTAGCTATGAAAACATTCTTTTGAATTTCCTTTAAAGATCTGAAAGCATCAGACCCCAATACATAATAGATTTCTTGCTTTCACTCATATTAGTAAAGGCACAAGGTACCTCATTTGTAGCAGAAGTCTCTGCTCAAACAATGATAAAGTTGTTCATTGTGACACAGTGCAGGGCTCTCTCCAGCCCTGGATTTATAAAATACTTGTAATTTTAAAAATACTGCTGAGATTCCTAGCAGAAACAATTAGGACTGCTATACCCTCAAGCCAGACTAGTGATCTCTGGATGCTGCTGTAAGTAAGGATTCTTTTACTTGTCAGACTCTTGCTCTGCATGGTATCTCCTAACTTAGGCTCTATGTTAAGGTTTCTCAGAAAACAAATGTGTGAAGAATAAAAATCTGCTATCACTAGTTTGGATAACCAAAAAACAAAATCCAAGTGCAACACTACCTGAAACGTTTACGGTGCTGAGTAAAACAAAGCTAACCTAGAAACAGACAAAACCAAGGTTTTCATTTACATACTAAGAACTAACTTGGAAAGCTATTATGATCCAGTTCACATGAACTCGTGGTAACTATTTTAAAATTGTTAGACACTAAAATGCATAGTCTTTAGAAGGAAACCATATTCTCAATTGTAAAGGTGAATCTGACTGTTTGTGTTGTTGTTTGTGTGGTTTGGAGAGGGTTTTTTTAGTCATTTGCATTAATATTTTAGCAACTAACAACATTACTATTTTGCCATGATAAAAATTGCTTTAGTCTTACATACAACCATAAGATGGAAGAGGACTGCCACAGGCAGAGTTTCCAGTCAGTAACAGAAGTGTTCTGCACACCACTCTCAGCAGACACGGGTGCACTGCTAACCACTCTCAGGGAAGGATGCTCAGGTGCTGGGGTGCCTTTGTGCTCTGCATACTCAGCATCCATGTCTCCAGCACCTCATTTTTCATATGAACATCTGCTCTAGCCTCATACTAGTTTAAGCAGGAGCATCTTGGCCAGATTTCAATCTCATTTGGCAATGTCATCATCGGGATATAGTGTATGTTTCCTTCCTGCCTTTGCTTCTTCCTGCTTAAATGTGAGATGTGTAGCAACATTATCACTGTGTGTAGACATTCTGAAGAGTCTGATGTTGAATAACTGAACAGCTTCCTTCCCTTTACATGTCTGGACACTACAATATCCAGTTCAGAAGGCTACAGAGATCACCACACATACACCTGAAACTGAGTAAGACCAGCAAGAAAGTCATGTTTTCATTGTCTCAGATGAGGCACAGCAGATTCATCCACTCCAAGGACATTAAGATAACTTGCTGGGAAGATGCAAACAGGAATTGTATCCTTCACCAAACGGGAGTTTATCCTCTCAAACTGCTCTGGGCTAGTACCACTTGGGGGGAAAAGAACAAAGGTGCTGACTGGCAAATGACATGCTATCACAAGCCCAAACTAGAATTTAAACCACTCTATTTAAAACACATATCTGAGATTCGCACATCTATATCAACATAAAAAAAAATTAGGAAGCAGACTGCAGTCTACTGTTCAAATCTCCTTTTAAAGAAATCAAATTAGAAGTAAACCAGCTACTCAGGGATTTTAATGGCAACAAAGGTCAAAGCTGTTAATGGTATATTCTCTCACGAGCAAAGTGCATATTTAAGTTAGCTAACTCATTTTATTAAATTAAAATGGATGATGCACAAACATTTCCTGAAAGGAGCCAACAGACAAACAGATGCTGTACTACATATTAGAACTTTCAGCAAACTTGCACAGCTACTGAGAAGTAAATCTAGGCTTAGAACAGGTGCATCATAAATACAACTATGGCATATAACATTTCTAAAATGTAACCATTAGACAAACATTCAGGGTTTTTTCTCAAAATACCAATTAATTTGTAAAACCTATGCTGGGTTTTTTTTTTGTTTGTTTGTTTTTTGGGTTTTTTTTTAATTTTTAAAGAAGCCAAATATACCAGAAACTTTTCCCCAAAAAGCAGGAGAAGTTCTGGCTAAACACAAAAATTAGTAGCAGGCTGATACAAGTGCAGAGTTTCCTGAAGGACTAAAGAAGCTGAAAAGAGGAAAATTTTGTGTATCTTGGTTTGGGGTACTGTTGCACAATTTCGCAAAAGTGAAATGAAAAAAGCATATCCTATGACTTTCAAACTAGACAAAGGAACAAATCCTAAAAAATTAACAAGCTGAAAAATTTCTTCTCCATTTGTACACTAACAGAAAAGTGGCCCTTTCCACCCACACAAGCTTTCTGACTGAAGATAATAAATCAAATCTAGACAGATAAGAAAAGAGGACAATGGAGAAGGCACAGTAACAACTGTGGTGAGACTGTATTTACTATCTCAAGGTGTGCAATTGATAATTTCAAGGTATTTCAAGTGCCACACCATTCACTGTAATAACTACCAGACTGAGGGCCTTGTAGCCATCTCAGAAGAAAAAAAACATTACAAAGGATTAACTACAATAGGAATGGTATTTCAACAAAACAGTTCACATAAACTGCACAGGAAATGAAAATATCTACAAGCACTGATGTTTTTTATCAGTTCTTCAGTTTTCCACAGTTTTTAAACAAATTTAACCACAATTGATAGAAACACCAGTTATTACTTACACTAATATTAAGAGCTACCTAATAATCAGGTTTAGAGGTACAATAAACCAGATTTCAACATACAATTTAAAATTCAGCTTCGTAGAAAATGGGCAGAAGAATGTAAGCCATTTTAGAAATCATAACTGAAGTAATCTAAAACTACTTTTCCTTAGACCAGTAGAGATGGGACATGAAAAGATAGTGTAAATGCTATGAAAATAGTCAATATTAGTTTTGTAGTCTTTTATATTCAGTGTACCAAGGCCTGCTTACAGAAGACAATAGGAAGTGTGTTTGCTCCTCTTGTACTACATTTCTGGACAGTAGATATAACAGCCAGTTGGGTAATGGATTTGCTGACTACCAATTTTTTACAATTATAAACCAGAGTCTAGAAAAACCCTGCACTGTTGCCTCACTTTTCTCAGGTTTGACTGAGAAAGTGACAGTCATTTAGATGTTTAAAAAGTCTTTCAGAATTAGGTGTCAGTTTTCTGTCTTTTAAAGGAAGAACTTCTATATCAAATCCATCCAAAGCAAGGTAAAAATCAGAGGTATGTTAAAATATGTATCTTGTATTTCTAATATTTTACTCCCAGTGACAAACACTTTTGCTTAATGCATGACAACTTTGATGTTCACATTAATAAAGAGCAAAATGGGAACTTACCCCCTCATTGTCTCTGTGTGGATTCAGCCTAGTATACACATTTTCAATAATATTACGCCTAAAAAGAGAAGTTATTTAAAAAAATTAAGCAAAACAAAGGATTTCAAAACATTGAGAAAAGTTTGATCAGAGTAGGCATTTTGAAGCGTATAAGGTATTTTTCTTTTAATCTGCCTTTTAAAAAGATGAAACCCACTCTGTGTCTTTACTCACTTTCAGTAAGAATTTGGGGATCTAGGAACTGGTTAAGATTTGTAAAGACTGAGTAAAGTAAAACCATTTTCTTACCTTACCCTCTCCATGATCCACCTCTTTTCTCTTTTTAGAGCTGCATACTCAGATTTTGTCAAGAGTAACATTTAAATCTATATTTTGCTTGATATGAAAAAATTCTTCAAGCTTGCTGGTTTTCTTGCCTTATTTCTGGATGTGGAACTTGAAGACAGTTGAGTTTCCCCCCATCTTTATTACACATATGCAGGTTACAACCCATCTACAAAATTTTGAAGTGTGATATGCAGAGTATATAACCCTTGAGATGTTTTCTATTGTCTAGTCACACTGTAGAAATTAAAACACAAAAGCCACTAGCTAGACTTCTTTTGTAGCAGTGCCATTTAAGGCCACACTTTCACAGGCAGTCAAAATAAGCACAAAGAATTTCACAAAAAATAAAACGCATCATATAAACAGCCTTCTGATGCAAAAAAGGTTATGTACTCACATTTCAAACCAAAGTTACAACAGGCAAACATTCAGAGAGTTATAATAAATATGATCAAAGTTATTGACAGCTGCAACAAAAATGAACTGCTACATGGACTAAGACTTAAGTGACCAAGATCTCTAAAAAATTTTTCTTACAGAATGAGGGGCACCAACTGTTGACTCTTCTAAAGAACAAAAAGGCATCAGATGCCAAAACAGCAGCAAATGTCTCAAATACACATGGCTCTCAATGCAACAGAACTTTCTGCCCCAGAATACTGAGGATGCTACAAGTTTGATGAGGCTCCTTCTGAACATATTTCAGAAATCTGTAAAGGCTGCATATTTGAGGCAGTATGGGGTCCATTGGAATTGATGGAGGGTCTTCTAGGGAAAAGAAACTGAATCTTTCTGCCAATGCTAGAGGAAAGGGTTGTCTCCATTTAGTTCCAAATTTAGTGATAGAGGAATGGCACAATTGTGATTAAATGTCTGCACTACATAAAGCAAAGGCACCTCCAATGTAACAGAAAACACCTGGACAGTCCAAGCAAGACTGCTACATGGGTTTAAAAAGACATGAAAGCAGGCCACTTGGGAATTCTCCAATCTTTTTAATTCACTTTTCTTTCTTTCACCAATGTATTTCTCTGTGCTTTTCTTTGATGGGAAAACTCAGGAGAAAGATTTTGAGTGGAACTACTAAGGCCCAGGTGCCAGAGTAGCTCAGGGCTGCTTTTGTTTACTTCAGCAACAAACCTCAGTTCTTGAGGCAGCATTTGAAATCAAAGGGGATTGGAGTCAAGCCAGAAAACAGCCTTTGGAGAGTAAGATTTCCTAGGATAAAACAGCACCATCAGCTGACCCATACATCTCCCGTCTCAAAGAGTGGGCCAGCAGGGGCTTCCACATAAGTGAGAAGCTTGAAGGAAGCAATTATACAGTGCCAATATAAATGGAGCTACTTAAGGGGTTCCTAAGGTTTGCTAACATACTCTAGTTATAGCAACACTGAATTACAATTCTCCAGCTCAGATATGCTAAAAATTGGGAGCAACTTTCACTGGTGCTAAAACTGTGGATTACAGCCATAGACAAGATCTTTTTGCATTGCAACCTGTTTGAGCAAGGTCTTGGAGTTCAAACACAAAGTGTAATTTCTTTGTAACCTGGTAACATCACAGGATAAGTACCTCAAGAAAAAGAATATCCTCTTGTTAGGACAAAAGTTTTAAGTAACATAGTACGTTGATTTGGGTTGTGCAGAAGTATTTTTTTCCAATACTTCCATTAATTTTCTGCAAGTAAAATGGACTTACATATGTCTGTCTTTGTCCCAAGTTCAGAGGCCAAGAACAAGTTACCTAATACTTTAATAACATTAAGTTACTTAACATTTCCTTGAAAGAAACTGCAGGTACACTCCTGAAGTCAGGGGACTTTAAAAGTCAAGATGAAGAGAAAGGCACCAAAATGCAAATACTGAACCAAGTCTATGAAAAACAAAATCTGGTTCACAATAAATTAAAACAGAATTTATATGTCAGCAGAATAGTGCAGCAGTACATGATGTAGTTATTAATGAGCAAAACAACAAAACACAGTAGTTGGGAGGCACCAAGGAGAACAGCCAGACCAAAATTTCTCTGAATGTCTGGAATGTACACAAGTGGAAAAAAAAACCCAGAATGATACCTCCAAGGCCAGAGAGATATAATCATGGCAAACAGTGCTCATTAACAAGTACATGCAATGAAAATAGATGTACACATACAAGGTGCTCAGAGGGCAGGACTTGGTATTTTGTCAAATATGAATATTCCAGAAACAACATGCTCTATGCCAGGGAACAACGATCAGTCCTACTGTCTGGGAAATTCCAGATTAACAATTGTTTATGCAATCCTGAATTCTTTTCATTAAAATCCTCAAGTTATAGGTTGCCAGAACATCAGCACTGGGCTCCCCACAAAGCCAATGTAATTTCTGAAGGTTTATTCCTGTTGAGGTTTAAGATGCATATTCTAGTTCAATATTCTTGGTTATCTACCATTCAGTTTCAGACTAAACAAATAAAAACAATTTTCTTATGAGAATGCTTGCTGAGCAAATAAGTACTGTTCCAAGCTTATAATGGACATTAAGTGGTTGGGAAAACATGACATCAGGAAAACTGATCTCCTGGCATTTTTGATACTCATTTTGATATGTTTGATAGCTCTTCACAAATGTAGTAAAGCAGTAAAAAGCCAAGAATACATATATTTTTCTTTTAAACGGCCACATGGAAATAATAAATTAATATGTTATGTATAAATTAATATGCTGTGTACAATATGATTATGTGTTTTCTCTTTACCACACTGGAATGGGAACAATGACACAAATGTCCATATACTACAAAAGATAAACTAAGTTCAAACATAAAAAACTTGAATCAAGTATAGCTACTACAATAAGAAAACTTTAAAGCATTAAATGAAAGAGTGTCAGTGAATTTAACAGTTCAAGAAATTCTAGTACTGTACTCACTTGCCAGCTAAACCACCTCCTGGTGGCAAATTAGGGATATTCTCTGCAGTTAAAATACGAATAACATGAGCAAGATCAGGCATTCCTTCTTCACCTGCTTTTTCCATAATTTCTAATTTAAAAACACAAGAAATCTTCAATTAATATCACCCATTGGCTAAGACACTGAAATAGAAGATATCACTTTTTAACAGAGGCATTATGAAAAAAGTTTCATGTAAATAGGTAAAACATGGTTTGCATTTTAGGTTAACAATCTTTGCATGATAGAACGGAGCTTAAATTCATAGTCTGTCATTCCAGTATGCATAAAGCCTTACTCTCTAAGAGAAATTCAGAAGCAGAGTGTGAACTGAATGAAATCCCCTGGAGATAGCAGCCTGTTCTCTCTGCAAAGACAGAACAGCAGCTGGGAGTGTGTTTCAGTTAGCTTCCCCTTGCACTGCAACACGCTACAGCCATAAAGCCAACGCTGCCCAGCACCTGGCACGCTTCCTTGCCAGTAACACCTTGTATCCTCAAAGGCACCATCTCCAGTGCACAAACACTTGGACCATCAAGCAATCCAGAGGATACACAATGGATAGATGATATTAGCACTCAAGTGACCAAAACAGAATATGGAACTGATGAGGAATAATTAAAAATACTTATTTTTATAAGTAAATTATAATTATAATTATTAAAATTATAATTTTAAATTATAATCCATTTTCAAAGTTGACATACAACTCAAGTCAAGTCCAGTGCTTCTAACCTCTAAGTTCTCCTAGCCTGGAAAAGAATGGCCTGACGTGAAGTAAATCTTCACATATTCTCTTTCATCAGGACTCCTATTAAGATGAATGTATAATATCTGTATATACACTCACACAGGTGTAATGCCACCAGCTTCCAGTTATCAGCCTCTACTCATTCAACCATGGCACAAAAAGGTTTGGAGTTGTATGCACAAGTCTTCTATTTTTAAGAGAGAATATTTTTTCTGAAAATCAACTAAACTAAGGAATGGAGTGCTATTTCCTGTAGACATTGTTTTAGATAAAATTCTCTTTAAGAAGAATTAAGAATGAACCCTCTCAAGTATCATCCTAAAAAAACTTCAGTCATTCTGTATCTTGGCTACTATCCAAAGATAAGGAACAAATAATTTCATTTCTTACAATTGACTATATTCTGGATGACTGACATGGAGCCTGCAGTTTATGAGTTTCTTAAGTTAGCAGAAAAGCACGCCACCTATCCACCTCAAACCCCTCATCCCAAGTTTCCTAGGATTTAAATCTTGATTGGTGTCTTTCACTTTTTTAAGAAGCAAGTGACATTCGGGCTTCTCTTGAGACTACCAAGATGAGCAAAGTGCTTGGCAAGGTACTCACCCACTTTGCATGGGGCACATCTGTAACTCCTCAAAGGAATCACTTGTAGGATAATTACATTACCTTCTAACAAATAAGGCACTATTAAGCTTCTATGTCCCAATTTTAAGCCAGCACCATACAATTTTTTGCAAAGAATAAGATACCTGCACTACTACTAGAAGTGATTAAAATTAAAGACTGTTCCATGAAACTTGGATGTGTATTATCATCCATCCATCCATTAAGGATAAATCATGGCTAGCACAGGAAGTGATAGCTGAGTAAGTATGCCTAAATCTTAGGATTGTGATCTCTTCTTCCACACATGCTCACACAAATAAACCACAACTCCTCTTATAAATTGCATCCCTTTGTTCAGTTCTACTTAGTTAGAAGTAATTGTACTGCTATAATATAATTTTGCTGAGATACATTTGACAGGAAACATTTCTAATGAAAATACATTTTTTATACCAAGAACAAATCTGGTTCTATACAGAGGAAAAGTAGACAAATAGCAAGAATTAGTAATAAGAAAAACTAAAAATCCAAGAAATTTCTGAATATTTATTGCAAGCATAAGGGTTTTATATCTTCTTAAAAAGGAATGACACAGCTAAAGATTGCTGTATGTTTCTTGGTACTAGAAACATACACATTTGTACTGCATAACAACTTCTCAGGGAGTGCTGAACTGCACCATAAGCATTTCTAGAACTGAACCATAAGCATTTCTCTCCATTTCTAGAAGGTGGCAAACCAAGAATTCTGGATGAACTAATCATTATCTTTTTAATTTCCTGGTATTAGAGTGAGTAATCCAGAACTTGTTTCCTCTCTTGGAAAAAAAAGCTTCCTAACAGAAAATCGAGAATAAAACAAATGAGCATGCATGACCCACTGTCATTACACATCAGTTAGCAGGCACACACTGTGGATGTGCTTGACAAAGGACAACAGAGAAAGAAACCAAAATTTTTGAGAAACATATTTATGGGTATTTACAATTTTCAGCTTAACCTCTGTGATGTTAAGAATAACCCTACAGTTAGCCTTGCATTGCTAATATAATTCAGACACTTAAAGAATAATTCCTGATATTATTAAATATGTATATTCATCAAAGTCCACATCGAAGTCTACTACCTTATCTCTGAAACACTTTTCACTAACAGCCTAACACTTCATTCACAGATAAGCATTTTGAAAATTCAGGTAACATTTAAGTTCCATTTTATATAATGCAGGTCCCTAGCCAGACAGCATTACAAGTTCTCCATGTTCCAGCACCTCCTTTCATGCCCAGCTATCAGATTATGACAAATGAGTTTTATATACAGTATATATTCCACATATGTAAAATGCAGCATCCAACTTAGGGGATAAACTGACTATATCAGTGAGACTGTTTAAGCCTACACAGATCATGAGCTCCTACTTATGATTTGAGGTTAGTGGTTTTTGGGGTTTCATGGAGTTCTGTGGTTTATCTGTTATTAACTGCAATTCTGATACACCCCTTCAAATAAACTGAAACATATCAGAAAACTGAACTGACTTCTGTACTTTGTGGGACCAAACTTTGGATCTCTGAAAAAGAGAGCAGAAAATATTTGCAAGGGGTAGTAAGAAAAAAGTGACCTAGCATAACCTCACAACTGCCCCACACACCTGTGGAAGTGCCCCATCCAGGGCAGGGCCACTGGATGATCTTTAAAGCCCCTTTCAACCCAAACCAGCCTGTAATGCTGTGACTGTGCTTTGGAGATGGATCAATTAAATGACTCCAATGAGAAGCAGGGCTGTGCTCAGAGTCATAAATGACTCAGGCACAAGCTTAACCTCATTAAGCATTTCAGTACACCCTACAAGTGGCACCTTTGGAATGCAGTCATTCACATTCCGTCAACCTCAAAACCCCAACTAGCAACAGAGCACGGGTACATATTTCTTCCACTGGAAATCTCTGTAAACAATGACTCGCTGAGCTTGTTTTTAATCAATCTGTTAAAAGAAAAAAGTATCTCTAGGTATTAAGATAATAATTCTCTTTTAAGAACTCTGGAACAATCCTGGGGAACTACTAACTCAGCTCATTATACAAATATACAAAATGTCAGCATTCCATTTATAGAATGTTTAGAGAACAAATACTACATGTGCAAGTATTAACCTAATTTTCAACTTCTTTTTTACCTTTTTAAATCTAGCAAAAGCATGCCTTAAATACTGCTATTCTCCCTGAGCCAGAGCTTAGAATGCCCAAGTATAGCAGTGAAAAAACCCTATTGCCTAAAATGTTTGAGGGGTTTGTACAGCCAGCTTGATATTTAAGGCCCACAAGAGAACAGAAACATAACAGTGCGTATTCATTAAGAACAAACACCAGTGATCAAACTAAAATTGCTTCAGGAAGTCCCAGATGACTTTATACTAAGTTCTAATGCTGCCCTGATTTACATTAGTCACTTGGTCAAAGTGGAGGGTATCCAAGAGAACTCATAGTTTACATTTTTGACAACATCTGTCTTTGCAGCTTGGTAGTTCCAAGACAACCTTGTATTTTTCAGAATGTTTTTACTACAGGCATAAATATAATTGTTACTGGCTATCAGCCAACTGCTAACTCATTAATACATTCTTTTAAATGTTGTTCTTGTTAATTTGTGTTCAAACACCATTATTTGCTTTTTGAGAGGAATAGTCAGCCTCTAAAAAGGCATTTTAAACAAATCCATATTATCAGTGTCACAACATATCTATCAGACTATGTTTTTAGAGTTGCAAACAGTTTAAACCTTTCAGGCACAACTCCTTTATACACTGTGTTCTATATTAAGTTAAAAGATAAAAACAAAACTGATTAAGGCAATTGTCTTAACCAAAAAGAAACTCCACCTTCCAACATTTTTACCAACTCCAACACTTGAGAGGATACTCTTGCCCTCATGAGGTTTTTTAAAGTCAAAAGTATTCCTGCTCACTACTTAAAACCTTTAAATCAGATACTGTTTTTAAAAATTCCAACATATTTCTAAACAATTTTCCTCATGCTACTTAGTGGTTTGAAACACTTGCTAAGGCCTTTATTCTTTCTGAACTAATAATATTCAAGGCATGTGTAGGGTAAACTGCAGCCCCACAATTTTTTTTCCTTTTAATTAAGGAGACTGTATCACAATTACAATTTCATAGAATGTATGAATGCAAAAACTTGTTAAAAATCAGACAGATATTTCAAGTTCTGAAGTCTGTTTCATTTTCTTTCTCCACTCCTTGTCAGAATTTCTCAAATATGCTGTTATTTCTTGCTAAATACTTGCCTTTTAAAGGCCTTGAACTCCCTCCAATTAGCAAAACAAAGAATGACACAGGGAACTCAAGCAGGGAAAAAAAAATCTAGAGCTGAAGCAACAGAAGTTCAAGCTTTGGAGTAATTAGTTTCTCTGAAGCACTTTAGCTAAACAATCATTTTGAGTTATATTTGAAATGACCCCACATCAGTTTGGACTACAAACTCTCAAATATTTTTTTTTGTATATCTATTATTTAGTTAAATGTAATAACAGAGCTAAAAATAATCAGTTAATGATTAGTTAATCCAGACACTCTGACCACAAGTTATTTGACAGCTTTTCTATTCATCTTCACATTCACTTATAAAAGCAATAAAATCCACTGCAGTTCCATATATTTTTCACTTATTTGCTACCAGAGAGCAGCCACCAAGAAGCTGGGAACACTAACCTGTAACCACTGTGCACACCTGCCAGTGAAGGCAACTGCTCCTGGCTCTCTCCCAGAGCCTATTAACAGCTCATGTACTCTACTCTGACACAGAAGATAACAGGTATTTATCTTAACTAGTGTCATCTAGGAAACCTGGGATGTAAGCCAAATTCCAAGAAACAGGCCTAGAGTTAGCATTTGGAGTGACCACTAGGGCTCTCTGATCTCAGGAGAAATTACAAATATACAAGCCAGTTCAATTTAGATCCCATTTAAACAAGAGGAAAAGACACCACGCACAACAGCTGTGTGCTCAGAGATAACTCATACCTGAAGACCATCATGCATATATATTACAATTTAGGGTGGCTACACCAAGTACTTGGATTACTGGGACACTGACACAACAACCAAATACAGCTTTTGCTTTCTGTCAAAAACTTGCACAGAAAAAGGGAAGAAATAGTACAAACAGTACATTCCTTTTAATATTTCATAAGCAGGACAATAGCAAGATCACAATTTACTGAGCTGATACAACACTCTGCAAAGTCAGTAATTGTATTTTAACTTACAAAGACAGCACTAAAAACTTCTGGCTCACATTAAGAAAATGTTTGCAGAATACCAGGATAAACTAAGCACATGGTCTCAAACACTCTTCCTGACATATAAAAGTTCAAAGTTATAATCAGGTCTGAATTTAACCTAACATGAAAGTGGCATAATGTCTTTCATGGTTTTTGTTTTCATGCTCAAGATAGTTATGACATGTGCTCACTATCACAATCAAACTGAGATTTGTTCACTATCTAGTGAACTAAGCAGATTTCTTACCTTCAACCCGTGATTCCAAGTACTTATCCAACTCAGCATCTTTTTTCATTGCCTCCTCTGAGACCTTAGGAGCATTTGAAAAACAAACTAATACAATACTCATGTTATCACGACTCCCCTATGTGACAAAAAAGAAAGAGAAGTTAATATCTTTAGTCTTATTCTTCATCTTTCTAATCACATCTGTACTTTTTCCAAATACAGTGCTACAGACAAACCTGGAAAAAAACACCCTGAAAAAATCCTGTATTTTCATCAATAAGAACCTCTCAGTGTCCCAACCACACCTCTCACTAGAAATAATTTGACTGATTTTGACTGTATATTCTTAGTATTCAAGTCTAAATAATTAATGGGCTTACCTACATGTCAGCCATTTAAAAATAGTACCAATAAAACAGGTCAGAAATTAGATACTTGTATAATGTTACCTTAAGTCAAACTGTAAAACAACTCCTGTTGCAAAATGAAATGCAGAATGCTACCCTATACTATTAGAATAGCTCAGCTCAAGCAACTAATTTTTAGTTGCAGGGTGTTCATGTAAGCCATTACATGCATTACAAGTCTGTTTATTAGAATGCACCTGTGTCACACAGCACCTTGAAGCAAGTATAAAACATAAATGTTTTGTATGGCCAAGCTGACCTTACAGACCATCGTGTGCTCAGAAATACCACCCAATGGCTTTTTTAGATACTAATTTAATGCCAGTTCTTTACCAGTACACTGATACCATTCTCCTGCTCATATTTCATTTTCAAAATTGTAATTCACAGCCAAATTTAAAAACACAATTCTAAGTCTCTTACAAGGGGATCCAGTAGAATCATAATTTAAACCACTAGTTGGTTTGATAATCAAGTCTCAACTTCACTTTTTTGTGTAGAATATTAAGTGCCATTAGTCACTGCATCCTGTTGCTGTGTTAACCCAAGCTACTGGATAGTTCTAATCATCTATCACAACAAATCCTTCTCCTGAAACAATTAAGAATTTGACATTAGAATGTATTCCTTTAGAAATACTGCTTAGGAGTTAGCCTATATTCCCTTTTGTACCAAGCATATGAGGACACCTACCACTTAGTATTACGTGGTATAATCCACAGCCTGGTTGTTACAGAGATCCAGGATCTGACTTTGGAAAATAAACATGTGGCCAGCACTCAGTTTTACTGAAAGAATCTCAGACTGACCATTCTTTAAGAAGGCTGGTCGAGTTCTTGGTCAGAAAAGCAATTTAAACCAATTTAAACAGCATTTAAACCAATCATACACTGTATGGTATATGCCAGAATACAACCCTATTTCTGGAAAAAAACACACAACTTACCCTTCAGAGTTACAATTGGGAATTTCAGTATATTCCTCAAAATTGCATGTTTAGTCTGTGGCCTAACAAAGGAACTCTGTACTAGCAGGAGTTGCACTTTTCATGGAATGTTGGATATGGAGTACCTATTTAACATATGTAGACCGCTAGTACTTGCTCCAAACAAACTAAATGTGAGGAGTGGCAGCAAGCTCAGATGCTAAGGTGGTGCTACTCCATCTAAGCTACAACAAGCTGAGGGCACAGGTGACAGACAAACAACACCTTGAAGAGGAGATGGTGCCAACACTGGTTTCATGCAAAGGATACAAACACTGCCCATCTTCAAAGAACACAAAACCTCACAAAGTATCTTGCTCAGAATAGATTAATTTTACAAGTTTTGTATTTAGAATCAATGTTTAGAGCTGGAACTATATGCAAGCATTACCTGGGGGAAAAAACCAGCCTTTAGTTTTGTAACTGCTATCACCTTTCTAAGCACATATGGTGAGGCTGTATATTCTTCTATACAGTCAAATGGGTACAGAACTTGGAGGAAAAGAAGTTGGAGAAGGGGAACAGTAGGCCAGAAACAGCTGTTAACACTGTCCCCAAATAACCAGAAGATGATTTAGGATGATTTTAGCTGTTTGGAGAAAACACTTACATACCTTATGTAAACAAGTGTCCACTACCCAATTGCACACTGTTTCCAGGTCATCTGATACTTCAAGTCTAGACTTTACATATTCACAGAGCTCTTCATTGCTCATTACATCCCAGATGCCATCACAAGCCAGGATGATAAACTCATCTTCTTCTGCCCTTAAAATTTCACACACCTCAGGCTCTGGAGACACAAGTTGTTCTGTGGGGCCTTTACCGTCAACACATTTGTAGTCATAGTCCCCCAGAGCTCGAGAAACCGCCAACGAACCGTTAACACGCTGAATCATTACACTGCCTCCTGCATTCTGGATTCTCTCTTTCTCCCTCGGGTTGCAAGGTTTGTGATCCTGTGTTGAAAAACACACTTGTCCATTCCTATAGAGAACAGCACGTGAATCACCACAGTTGATAAAGTATACATGCTCAGGTGAAATCATAACTCCCACTGCTGTTGAGCCACTTCTGTCCATGCCATTTCTGAGGTCTGCGAAATTGCGCATATACTCATCAATTTTCAAAAAGCCAGTTCTGATTCCACTCTTGACATTTTCCACTGAAGGTTCAAGAGCAGATCCAGGTTTTTCTGTCGCCCTAAAGTCTTCATTGTTAGTGATGTGTTCTAATAAGTGCGTGGAGCAGTAATTTGCAACACGAGATCCCGCGTGACCATCATAGACAGCAAAAAAGGACCAGTCCTCTAAGCCATGGGGAATACCCACAACAGCTGTGTGAGCATCTTCCATTTCCACTCTCCATCCCTGCATACTGCTGAGGCCGTAACGCAAGCCATTCCCTGCACCATGAGCATTGTGTTTTTCAGTTTTTGGTTTATCCAAAAATGCACCCATGTTTATGCAATATTGAACCTGGAAAACAAAGAGAAGAAGTCTTATTTATAAAACCACCATTCCATATAAGGTTTGTTGTCCGCTTCCTGTGTTTCTTCTTCATAAAAGAAGTGATAAAGCATGCATGCATGCAAAAGTCAACAACTATATTGGAAGAAAAAAAATCAAGACATGACATGAATGAAGCGTGAATTTATAAACCTCTGTAGGCATTTTTAGTATTGTTTGTTGGGGTGCTGTCTTTTTTGAAGAGTTACTTCAAAATAATTAAACAATCTCCATACGAAGGCAGAGTAGATCACATACCTTTGCAGCCCTGCTGATTTTGTCATCCTCTGGAGAGACAGACTTATGATGGAAAAACAACTATATCAACTCCTACTTTCTTTGCAGTTTTACTGTGGTGTGAAGAAAATCAATTCATGTTCATAAATCAGAATGGACTGGTCTCGCTAGCTTTGCATGTGCCATACTACCTCTGCATTCTTGTAAGGCATGGCAAAAGTGACCGTAGGGGAACACAGACTATCTGCCAAAGGAATCAAGGCAGTAATTCCCACTTAAATACAAGAAAAATTCTCACAGCCATCTTTTAACAAATTAACAACATAAAACAACATTTCAATATTTACTATAGAATCATAGAATGGTTTGGACAGGAAAAAACTTGAAAGATCATCTTCTTCCAACCCCTCTTGCCATGGGCAGGGACACCTTCCACTAGACCAGACTGCACAAAGCTCCCTCAAAGCAGGCCTTGAGCACTTCCAGGATGGGGCATCCACAGCCTCTCTGGGCAACATCTTCCAGTGTCTCACTCTCCCAGTAAAAAATTTCTTTCTTATCTCAAATCCAAACCTACCCTCTTACAGTTTGAAGTCATTTCCCTTGTCCTATCACTACACTTGGCAACAGTCCCTTCCAGCCTTCTTGTATGCTACCTTTAGGTATACTTAAAGACCTCTATAAGATCTCCCCAGGCTTCTCCAGGCTGAACAACCTCAACTCTCAGCCATCCATGAAAGACTTTCATGTGCTTACATGGGATTTTAAGTTCAGAATTTATTCCAATAAACTTAAATTCATAAACTTTATAAATTACAAATTTTATTCAATTACAAGAGATATGAGCTAAGGGAAGTAAACAACCCACAGGAAGTTAGAAGTTCTTCAGTATTTGGAGACTATCTCCAGAATGCAGGCTCACAGGTAAAATGTGAATAATCTACAATGAAGCTTTGAAAGACTTCTGATTTCCTCTCCTGCACTAGACTCAAGTGTCCTACACACACCTGAAAAATTACCTTGCCCTTTACAAAGTCAGTAGAGAATACATTCTTTAATCCACAGATCTCAGAAACTCACATATCACAACTTCAAACCATTCTAAAAGTCATCACCCTACAAAATCCTAAAATGTGAAAATTACAGCAAATTTCATCCAAAAAGAATTGGCAAGAATTCTGCCATGACTGATCCTGAGCAATCACTCATCTCTGACACAGTAGTACCCACCTACAGAATGTACAGAGTCATGATAACCTAATTCTAGGTTAAGAATTTGTTGCCAGGCCAGGAAGAGATTAATTAATCCTTACTCCCACCATTCCCCTCACCTAAACACATATGAAGTATACAGCAGACCACACACAGACAAACCAAACCTCACACTACCTCTCTGCTACAATGATCTCCATGCAGTGCTGAAGATCCCAACAGCTTGCTCAGCAGTTTTGTTAACACTGAATCAATGTAAAGGACACACAAAGTGTATCCATCAATGCAATACGTAGTCAAAACTCTGCACAACCCCTTCTCTCAAAACATCTGATTTTGCTTTGAAAACAAACAAAATTAATCTGTGTCAGAGGGTAAGCAAGACAGCGTGACATATCACCACAAAACAGAGTTCTCAGCAACCAATGCTCTCAGTTGAGAGCTGAACAAGTTCCACATAGTTTAATAGTGCAACTAACATCAGTCAGACTTGTGAAAGGATTCTTGTACCTCACAATCACTTATTCCCAAATTACACACAATACAAAACTATTTTAAAAGCACACAAAACATTCTTACCAGTAAAACTGTCATACAGGACTGAAATGCTGCCAAAATGCCAGATACTCTCCAATACTTCACACCTTCTATGAAATTCCTTTAATTGCATTATGTCATTGCATTCTTAAAATCAAAAATGTGGAAGACATAATGTGACTGAGTGAGGAAGAAGATCAAAACTTATGTAATTGCAAAGGCCTGTCGGCTCAGTATTGTGTTGTGTTTTATATCTGTAAAACAAAACACAATTTAAAAAAAAACAACCACCAAAGGCATGTGTCACACCTTAGTTTTACTTGCTTCATAAGTAGGTTCACTTTTTTACAACTTAAACCAGAAAATAAGAAAACCACACACTACTCAAGATTATGATCTTAATATTCTAAATATCCCATTTAATATTGCAAATAAAGGATGGAGAGATTGAATATCTATCAGTAAGTCTGGGAGTCAACTTGTGTCCTTTGCCTCACAGGCTTTCATCACACATCTCCAGGAGGAACACAGCGTTACCTTCTCTATCCCTCCCGTGAGGTTGGAACTTCAGAGAATTTGTTGGAAGACAGCTTGGCCTTTCCTCTTCCACTCTGAAGAAACTCCTATCTCCCCCTCCTCACACACTACAGGCTCTGGCCCCTCAGTAACAGAATGCTTCTCCATGTCTGTGCCTTTTTGGAGGTGGGCAGCCCACACTGCATTCCCAATGCAGCCTTGCGAGCTCCTAACAGACAAAAACCATCACTTCTCCCAGAATGCTGACACACCTTTTCTGACAGGTGCCAATTTTTCCCCCCTTCAGACACACTGCTCTCTACTGTTCAACACATTTGTCCTGGTTCTCCATCAGGACCCACCCCTGGGCTCTCTTTGGCAAAGCTCATTCCCCGAAAGCCATCAGCCAGTCTGCAGAGAGGGACAAGGTGACTTTATTCCAGTGTCCTAGGTTACAATATTAAGATATATTCTATTCCCATCCTCAAGAGCTGCTGAAAACCAGGAGGGGGCCACCTTCCTTATCTCCTTTTAATGGGCCCATCAATGCCTTTTCCCATGACTCAAAGATAATTCCCTCCAGGAGGCATTTCTGTTTAATGGACTCACCACATGACTCACAGAACGATAACAGCCAATTGTGAGAAGCTCCACCCAGGGGGGAGCTAAGAACCCCCACCTGGATATAACCTAGGTTTGGGACAGAACAGTCAGTCTTTCCACTGGATTCCCAGAGGAACAGGTATCTTTTCCACTGGATCTTCAGAGGAAGACTACACCCTTTGTACAGGAAAACTGCTCCAACAGAACCACATCTGCCACTCCAGGAGGACTGCAGCCACCAATCCAACTGCACTGCTACCAACACCCTGACCAACAGGGCATCAGGTTGCATTCTGACTTTGTCAGTGTTTTTTCCTTTTGTATTATTGCGTGTATTTTGGGGTTTTTCCCCCTTTTCCTACTAAATTGTATTTGACTTGTAGTCTCTCACTAGTTTTGCTTTCAAACCAGAACATCCAGGTACTGGATTATACCTGTGGTTACATCACAACACTGGTCCAGCATACCAGGATCCATCTGCTGCTAAGGCCTGCCCTTGGGCTAACCAACCACTCACTCCTATCACGTATTTTAAGCACATACACCCTTCCACTGCTCAAGTTTTTAACTAAGACTTCATTGTACTTCCTCTTAGTCAAACCATCTCAACATTTCTTGAGGGAGTTAAGGCATTAAGCAGCCCTAAACATCTTTGCGGAGAAAGATTTAGTCTCAAGATAAAACACAGTCAGCAAAACAGATGAAGCACCCACCTGCAAACCAGTACAATCAGCATAAACTCAAAAATTCAGAACCCTTCAGTCTTGAAATTTCTTTTCCAAAGATCTCATTTTTGTATGAAATTTAATTGAATAACAGATTAGTTTGAGAAAACATTAATTTCCTTGGGGTGAAAATATTTATCCCACATAAAATTATTAGTTGAAACTTTCAAAATCAGGAAGACCATGTCTATTGCAATTCCCAAAATTTTCTTGAAAATGGAGAAAGCCTTAGTTCTTGCCCATGCTTCACAGACCATTCTTTAAAATACCATATATTACTCAGACCAAATCCTAGAATTCTCTTCTCCTTGTAGTCTTTCCAACCCTTTTTTTCCAACCAAAAGGTTGGAAAAAAAAGAAAGCAATAATAATCAATTTTTAAAAAAATCTACTGCCTGGCAGGACCAATAATCACCAAGGCTCAAAGGCTTTTGGAATGCCTTTGCAGAGGAAAAATTACTTTATAGGAAGAAATTACTGGCCTTTGCCCCTCTCTGGCAAAGAAGAAGTTGAATCTGAGCAATACACTACCAAAGAAGAGACTCCAACTATCTCTCCAGTGCATACTGTTCATCTCTAGTCTTAGATCAATAGTGGAGTCACTTCCAAGAAAGTTCAGGGCAACAAGTCTCCAACAAAAGCTGACATTCCAGAGCAAAAATCCAACCCAAGGCTTACTTCTCTGAAGTTCCAACCTGTATTTTTCTCTAATGTCTTCAACCAGAGAGAAATCTTACTTGGTCCTTATCTCATATACAGGCAACACAGGCAACAATTCAGACTCAGGAAACCAAAAACATCTATCCTTTTGAGGTATAGAGGAATGAAGGCAAAAGTCATGTCCTCTGACATGTAAGAAAAATTTATGATCAATATCCTTTCTGCCCCAGCTACACAGCAAAGACGCTTCGGTATTAGATCAACCATGTAGGAAAGAGTCTTAAATTTAGCTGTGCACAAGCTTGCGTTTGCATTTAAAAGACAAACAACCCCAACTGCAGATTTTCTCCAAAGATCTACTTAAAAACTGACAAATAGTTCTTGCTCAGGTATAGATATTCATTATTTTGTACTATATCATAAAGGGGAAATAGGCAGCTACTTTAAGTGAAAAGCATGCTCCTCTCAATTTAGATTTAT